ATTGAATATGCGAACCCATTTGCACAGCTTCTAAGTTTGCGAATGAATGTCTGAGGCCCTTCACATGCGCGCAAACATTCGTAAGTGGCCGGCATTATATGCAGTCTTATATTTTGTTAGGTATTCGCACCTAGTGGACATAACTAAAACTAATTTTACGGTTCAATCTCGCATTGACTGACTGGTTGTCAATCGACCGTGACCACAAGCACTGTAATTTACTTATCGTGGCGTGCAACCTCTTTGACAGGACATAAGACCTACAACGACTAGACACAGACTAAGACAAACGCTTGACAAGAATTCAAAAATAAAGAGAGAAATGTAACGAGGGCGTACGTGACTAGCGGCAGGCAGTACTTTTTTTGACTTCCTAAAAGACACGGACACGAACCAGACGACAAGGAACGAATTGACCGTTCTCATATTATGTGTATAAAATAGTCGACAAAAGAACTAACCGACCGTTCAAGTGGTCCTTCGACCGTTCATTACTCGAAATATTGCAAATAAAAATCGCAAGATTAAACTATAGTTTGGATTACGTATTCTTGGTGTCATGTGTTCGTCTGTAACAGTTCTTATTAGAAGCATTTAAACTTTACCCACCAATTTTATTCTTATACATAGTATTTGTATAAGACTAATATAAAATGCACTTGAAACCTAAACAAAATAAATGGATAGAACAATTTTAAAATTCCAGCGCTGAATATATGGCTCTTTTCTTATCTGTTGATAAAGTATTACATATTAAAGTTTTAATGTATTATTATATTGTAAAGATTAAATTATAAGTACGTTATACCTAATCGATAGCCTATTAAAAATACAACTTCAATATTACTTCGTAGTACTTCGTAGTAATTCACAAAAGAAATATGTAATCGCCTTAGTTACGATTCTATCGATTATCAAAAAATAAATAATATAGGTACCTACGCAAATCTGTAGTGATGTACGATTCCGCGGAGTCTTTAGACACAGTATCCACCCACACTCAACTCATAAAACATTTCACCTGTTGCCATTCACTCATTACGTCTACTTATTTAAGGCCAAGTGCACGCGTTAAAGCTATACATGTAGGGTTCTGTATACACACGATTCGATTCGCCTCGAAGGCTCCGTCGGCTGGGCGTCCTTGGGGTGAGCCGCGCCGTCTGGTTGTATTGTTGACCGCGGTAACCCCCCTACCTCATCCGGGTTCTGGCCTCGGAGGGGATCGGACGTCGGGTGTAAGAGTGCAGGGGAATCGCTTAGTGGGTAGGTCCTAAAATTCCTTGGGCCCGCGGTCTGCTCATAACACCATGCAGATCGTTGAGTCTCACATACTCCGCGCGCCCCTAAGGCGCGGGGACTTCGTAGGAGGTACGGCCCCGGCTCGATAAAAAAAAAAAAGTGTTCTGTATACAATAAAGATATGATCGCACCAAAATCGCTCCATATGCATTGAAATTGAAAAGTACCGTACTAAACTTTTTGATCTCGAAAACCCTTCTTAGTTTTTTTTTTAAATAGACAACAGGTGAAGGTTATCATACGGCTTCGGTCGATTACTAGATAAACTATGAATTGGTATGCACAATAATACTTTAATACCACGAAAATATTCAAAGAGGTTTAGGTCAATTAGGTTTTTTCATCACTGGAGCTATTAACGCGATCCCCAGGTTATTAAACTATTTTAAAGCAGAGGAATTTTCAAATCTGTAACTCAAAGGTGTACGACAGGGTGAGGTAAACTTCATACACTATAGTTGAGGTTTCGACCCCATGTCTCTAGGTGAGTGGCAACATTCAAGCTGATAGATCATAGATCCGTTTGCTCATATAATTAAAAAAAATACTACGGAACACGTTAAAATGAGAAAAAAAACCACTTATAAGCATACTATGTTCCAACATCTAAATGCAACCATTAACACTCACAATAGTAATGAACTAGAAAATGAAAATAGCCAATACCAATATAAATCAGACGTAAACCATTTGTTTGATCAGCTGAAATAGGTCGTTTGTGATTAAAAAAACGGCATTATGTTGTTTATACGTTGCTATTTTTAGAACTAGAACGATTTTCATTTTCCGTTATACAAGTTAAATCAATAACATACATTTATTTGGCGTTACAAGTTTGTAAGCGAATAGGATTTCCACCTTAATTTTTGTTTAATCAAGCCTACCATGGCTATGGGCAGATATTTATGGAGAATATTAACGAAAACCGCAGAAATTAGAACTGTCTTAATTCATCTCGACTCAGGATCTCCTTTTTGATACACCACCACGCGCATTCTTGTGTTTTGTATGTTATTCTTCAGGATAACTCTGAGTTGAAAAATCATATCCTCAAAATTAACACAAAATATATTGACACATACCTACCTTCTCTCATAAAGATTTTCTCGATCTATAAGTCTTAATGTAAATAAATAAGTTTAATTTCCTCACAATTCTAATTGTTGTATCAGATCCACGATGTGAAGCTCATAGAATATAATACACATAAATTAATTATAGATAAGCAACTCAAGCACTCAACAAAAATTTTCAAAGACGTCGGTCACTAGATGGCCTCTCTTCGATTAGTTTCTCATTGCTCCTGTTGATAGCAGTAACATATTATCTATCCTTTAACTTATTTCTAATGAAGGATTTTGTAAATTTTCTGAAACCACAAATTGATAAAATTTTATCGACTTGTCTATAAGCAATAAAGACTTGTTGGATTTATTAGTTTTCTTTTTATTTTGTGTGTTTAGTTATACAATAATTAAATGCCATATCATTAACAACATATAAGTTTAGGGGCACCCGCTATAAGATGTCGCTAGTTTCCATACAAAAAAATATTTGTCTTAGAGTATCGCAGTTTCAGGGCCCTTGTGAAGTTCACCGGCATGAAGCGCACCATTGCTATATGAAGTATGCTAACTTTACCTTATTAATCTATCACCCAGCTAGTCTCATGAACCGTGCTGGAGTCATGGTCCAGACGGCTGGCCGATCCTTCGGCTGGTCGTAGGACCGTCGAGGCGATTCGCCCGGTTCTTGTGAATTGGGTGAATCGTGACAGAGGACGCCTCACTTTCCGGCTCACGCAGGTGCTCACTGGGCATGGTTGCTTCGGTGAGTTCCTGCACCGGATCGGAGCCGAGCTGACGGCAGAGTGCCACCATTGTGGTTGCGACTTGGACACGGCGGAGCACACGCTCGTCGCCTGCCCCGCATGGGAGGGGTGGCGCCGTGTCCTTGTCGCAAAAATAGGAAACGACTTGTCGTTGCCGGGTGTTGTGGCATCAATGCTCGGTGACGACGAGTCGTGGAAGGCGATGCTCGACTTCTGCGAGTGCACCATCTCGCAGAAGGAGGCGGCGGGGCGCGTGCGAGACGCGCAGGCCCGCCGCCGTCGAGCGGGGGCCAGGGAGGCGGATTTCGCCCAAGCCCTTGCCTTCTAAGTGTTTCGGGTCTCTCTCACATGTCGGCCTGGGGACCGGCGAAGGGGACCTAAGAAGACGACGTGCAAGCTGCTCTGCACGCGTTTTATGCAAGAGCGTCCGGGTGATGGAAGGCCGGCTATCCTCAACCCACGCTGGTTCTGACCCAGCGGGGTATTCCGAGGGTAGACCATTCTAACCGGCGCCATCTAGGCGGGCTTCGGATAGCCTGCCGACCGAGAGGACTGGTGGTCGTGGCTGGCGCCGACGACCGCCAGTCCGGCGTCCCGAGGGGGAGGGTGATGGGAGAAAAAAAAAAAAAAAAAAGCTAGTCTCATTATGGCTTACTATTATACTACTATTACTACTATTATTCGAATATCTTCATTCGAATTGTTTCTGCAAATACTACACACAATCCTGTTTTTGTCTTTTTTTAAATACAAAATTTATTCAAAATCAAATGGATTCCTAAATACAATAAAGTATAAAGGTACTAAAAATCATTTTATTCCTATTCGACACCTTGACGCGAATATCAAATTTAATTACACAATAAAGGTTTATTCTTTATATTTTTCCCAATAATAAATATGTTTTTATTATTTCTTTGTGCAATGAGTACCATTTTTGTGACTTGTTGTGATATTCATATCGCAAATCAGGTGTCGATGCGGCTGAGTATGGGTGGATGGACACATGTATTTATTATCTACTGGCTGACCCGGCAGACTTCGTAGTGCCTCATTCGATAAATAAAAGACCTAAACTTTTTTGTAAAATAAACTTAAAACAAACAAAAGAAATCCGTCCGACGGGGGACACATCAATGGAAAAACCAAATTGTTATTTTTATTTAATTCCGAGCATTTTCATATTTATCTACCTTTTAAACCTTCTCTGGACTTCCACAAATAATTCAAGACCAAAATTAGCCGAATCGGTTGAGCCGTTCTCGAGTTTTAGCGAGACTAACGAACAGCAATTGATTTTTATATATAGAGATGATGACTAGGACTTTTGGTGGAGACGTAAAGTCGTGTTATAATGGCAAATTATAATTTACGATGATATAATGATTACTTTACTAAACTTATGCAATATTTAGTATAGGTAATTCATTGTAAAATGCTTATTCGAATTTCTTAACGAATAAGAACGTGAACAGTAATTACCAATTCAGTAGTGACCTTCGATGAGTTTGACTAATTCTGTACTGGCATCCTTGGTATTTCTACTGCGTAGTCATGGATTCCGATTCAAAGAATAAGAGAGTATGGTTAATGGGTTCAATCGACTTAATATTTCAATGAATTAACGTTAGATGTAGTATCATCTTGAGTACTGCAGATGATTGATTGTCTGTAGGTATATCTAAATTCATGCGATTAACTCGTTCAAATTAGGTTTTGCCTGTCAATTTATTTATTGTTGGTAGATAGGGCAAAGAAAATTCAAATTTGGAATTCATTTTATTAATCACCTTATAACATGTCTCAACGGTAACATTGTGTTTTTAAATGAGCCGCGAATTGGCTTTTTTATCCAGTTACTTTTTATTTCATTGTGAAAAGTCGTATTTTTTTTTACAATACGCTCTGACGCTTCCATTAAGCCGTTTCCAAGGCTTTGCTTTGATAACAACCACGAAGTACCGGTAACCGACACCTCCGCGCACCACTATTGGTATACCTTCCATTGTTTCAATTGCCAAATGCGTGATCTGACAAAAAAAAAACTCCTTATAAATATAACATAGCAACATCCGAATTCTAAGTGATTATATTCAGGGGTCCCAAGAACTTCTTTTGTTTTTAAATCTATTATATCAGTTGCCCTTCATTTTATTTATTATTAGTCGAACCCGGTATTTGACTTAACTATGGTCCGAACGCTATCAATCTTCACAGTATCACCAGTTAGGCTAATTTAAAGATTTCCTAAAAACTTCAACGAAATCGGTCCAGCCGTTTCGGAGTCGTTTCGTTACGGAGTCTATAGGGTACATACACCCACTGAGTTTCTCGTCTGATCGTTTCAGTGGATCGCGATTCCGATCCGGTAGTAGATTCAACGAAGCACCACTTTTTCTAGGGCTAGTGTTAGCAATTCTCTCAAGCTAAGCCCGTGAGCTCACCTACCGGTCCGTGTGAAGTTAGAATAGTCCCTTAGGCTACAAACGATTAGGTAGGAGAAAAAAAAGGAGCCCATACATAAACGTTGACTTTTATGTTTAATTATTGATGCTATAGAACGAACAACACAAATAAAGTTCATTGTTAATACTTTTTTAGTGCTGGTATCTTAACTGAATCATATAGACATCGTGATCTGCCCTCATCTTGTGAATAAGATCAGTGACAGAAATAAATTATGTACAGTGAAACCAATACAGGATGTTTTCTGAAAATTTAACGCATGATTTTGATAGAAATAAGTTGAACCTTGTACCTATTGAAGCAGATATCTACATATTATATGTTCATAGCAATTAACGTTAGCAGAGCCTTTTTTTATTGCTTCTTTTTTTTATTGAAGTCGTCGTGGCCTAAAAGATAAGACGTCCGGTGCATTCGTATCTAACGATGCGACGGTGTTCGAACCCCGCAGGCGGGTACCAATTTTTCTAATGAAATACGTACTCAACAAATGTTCACGAATAACTTCCACGGTGAAGGAATAACATCGTGTAATAAAAATCAAACCCGCATAATTATAATTTGCGTAATTACTGGTGGTAGGACCTCTTGTGAGTCCGCACGGGTAGGTACCACCACCTTGCCTATTTCTGCCGTGAAGCAGTAATGCGTTTCGGTTTGAAGGGTGGGGCAGCCGTCGTAACCATACTGAGACCTTAGAACTTATATCTCAAGGTGGGTGGCGCATTTACGTCGTAGATGTCTATGGGACCCAGTAACCACTTAACACCAGGTGGGCTGTAAGCTCGTCCACCCATCTAAGCAATAAAAAAAAGCTTAGAAGAGTGGACGAGCTCACAGCCCACCTGGTATTATGTGGTTACAGCAGCCCATAGACATCTACAACATAAATGCGCCACCCACCTTGAGATATAAGTTCTAAGATCTCAAGTATAGTTACAACGACTGCCCCACCCTTTAAACCGAAACGCATCACTGCTTCACGGTAGAAATAGGCAGGGCGTAGCCTACCAAAGCAGCCTATCGACAACGACCAAGTTTCATTCAATATTATGTTCTTCAATAATTATAAATATTTTATAAAAACTTACTATGCAATCAAATATCTCTTCAAAGAAGACATGCTGTCCTACTTCTTTAGGCGAGTAATCAAACCTTTTTTTGTAAACTCTCGTGTCATTTGTTTGTCTTAAACCTTGATACATATTTTGATAGGCGGCATTCAAATTCTCTATTACTGATTTTTTAATTGGTATCGGCTCCGGAAAAGCGTAACGACTATCGAAAGTCGGGCTGAAATTTTATAAATATTTAAATAAAACCTAAATAAAATTAAATCTAAGTTGTAGGTTATATGAAAAGACTGCTGCCTACTCTAGATCTTTTCTTATTCTTCTGTGTCTTTCATTTGTTTCTAAGAAATCGTGATTTTTCCAATTATTGCAATGAAACACAAAAAATGCTCACGATAGATTTCCACGGTGAAGAAATAACTTCGTGTAATAAAAATCAAACCCGCAAAATTATAATTTGCGTAATTACTGGTGGTAGGACGTCTTGTGAGTCCGCACGGGTAGGTACCATCACCCTGCCTATATGCTATATGCCTATATGCCGTGAAGCAGTAATGTGTTTCGGTTTAAAGGGTAGGGTAGCCGCGGGACAGCCGTTGTGCTGTAAAAACTGAGACTTCAGAACTCATATCTCAAAATGGGTGTCGGCATTTACGTTGTAGCTGTTTATGGGCTCCGGTAACAACTATTCACCAGGTGGGCGTCCACTAACCTATGCAATGAAAAAACCTACGAGGTATACTGTCTGACTTTTTATTTTTATTTATTGTCCATGTAGGCAGGCGCTCGCTTCAGCTGATGGTGAGTGGTTACCGTCGCTCATGGACGTCGGCAATGCCAGGGGCAGAGCCAAGCCGCTGCCTAACCTTAAAATTTTGTTATACTGGTAGATATAAAAGTAGATAGCCTAAACTTTAGGTTATGACGACTAAACAATAAAAAAATAGCATAGTTATTATAATTTTTAATCATGTGTTCGTGAAATTATGACTTCGTCTCCCCGCCTAAAACAAACGATTAACCATAGACTCTAACTTGAGACAAGAGTTCAATGTACTTTGAAATACCAGCTAGGTTAACTCACTATTCAAACTGGAACGCATACAGCTTCGCATCAGGAATAATATAATCAACCCAGGCTAACTAACAACACACCTATTTAACACCGCCTAAGAATGGAGTTTAGGGGAATATAGGGAGAAAATACTACCCAATAATGTTGGACGTTTGTTGTTTGAAATAGCACTATTCGTATTCCTGTTTCTACTACTATTTTAAGGTAAGATCTTCTGACCTAGAAAGATATCTAAAGTCAATTTATAAAAAAACAGTGAAATTATATTTTATGCTTTAACTCAGTTAATATGTACTTACATGATGCGCCGACCTAATCCAAAATTATGCATCCTCTCATAAAAAAAAGTTTGATTTGAACCAAACTCCCGTAACATAGAACAAAAAGCAATAAACAATAGTAAATAATTTTTCATGTTGTTACTATTCTACGCATCGAAGTGTGAAAAAAAAGATCAACAATTTTTATTTATGGCGAAAAACATGAATTCTATTGTAAAATATTACGCGTCTGTGGTATTTTATGCTGCCACTATACCCTGCATTTTGATTTACGTGTTTTATAACCGTACGCCTACGATCATCTAACCATATGGTAGTTGTAAAATTGAAATTGAAGGTCGAAGGAAACAATAACTTCGAAAATAATTATAAACTTAACATGGTTCGTAAAAATCAGAATTCATAATCTAGTCGTTTCGTTCATTGGCTACGCGTGTCGTGGCCTTTGTAATGTCTTAGTGCATGTCATTCGAGAGGTAAAAGGTTTGAAGCTTCGTTTGCAGACAAGTTTAAAACCACTTTGGTGTTGGATGATTAACAGTATTATTCGGAACCCATAAATAGCAAAAAATGAATATCGTAGCATACTTCGAATTAAGGTTTAAAAAATTGTATTTAAATCTACATACTCTTCCAGCGGGTAGCTTGAATGCTTTGTACTAAAGATATGGCGGTAACCCCCCGTGTGAAGCTGGAATAGCCTGGAATAGCGGCCATGCTGTCATGTGCCCGCCGATACGTTGAAATTTTTGCAGTGCATCGTGCAACGCATAGTGTGCTCCCGCTTTAAGGCTATCAGTGAATATGAAGGGGAAAAAATGGCGGTAAATACTTGTCTAACCTCATAATTTAATAGACTGTTAGCCAAACAATGTTATTATTACTCATTGAATTAGCAAACATTCTGATTAAGCCGTTGGGTAGTTAGTCAGCGAGAGCTATAGTTTTCACTGACTAACTAATCAACTAGTAAAAATATCTCGTATTTATATGAATGGTATTTCAATCACACGTCATCAAGCTATTCCTTTTCGTGCAATATGAAAAGTATAACACAAAATGAAGTTTAAGTCTTACAAAAAATTCATTCATATGGTGCTTACAAAATATTTCTATTTTTTTTTTTTAATTCTTTATGAATATAAATCTATATTTTTAAATTTGATTTTGTAAACACAACAAAGAAAAGATGTTTATTGATTCTAGATTCTTTTGCTTTATCCATCACATTTTTGACGTAACAAAGACTTTCAGTGTCGCTTATTTATTGACATGAGACATCGATTAACTTCAATATTAATTGACTGACAGAATCAGAAAACATTTTAAAATTTTTAAATTGATCAATTTAAATTTAAGAAAAAATATTTAATTAAAAGCTATCCCCATACGTTTCATACTAATATAAACAATGCATTTAACCGTATTGATATAAAATAACCCTTAAGTTGTGTTTGGGTGTATAAAGTAGTATTATAATCCTCAGCAATATGGATGGTAAGCTTTTTTAATACAAATCTTTTAACCTGTAGTTAATCGCAATTAAATATCGATCTGTACTTTTAGAATGTTCAGCAACGAAATCTACTTCCTTAGAAACGTTGGTTATTCAAAATATAAGTAATGTGAAAGAACTAAAGTCGAAATTAAGTGAAATAATTAAAAAAGGAAAAGACTATGAATTTGATGTTTCTTCGTGCGTCAAGACTTTAATAAAGAGCAACGACCAAGAGATAGTACTCCTGACTGTCGAAGCCATATCAGAGCTCGTTAAATGCGACGAGAAACGTCGAACATATTCTCAGAAAGAGATAATCAGCCCCATTCTAGATATTCTGCAAAAAGAAATAACTACCGAAAATGCTGCGTTAATAAAACAGTGCTTTCGAGCTCTCGGTAACTTGTGCTGTGACTGTGACTCGTCAAGAAAGATAATCTTGGAATGTGGAGGTGTTCCCAACATAATAAATCTAATGAAAAAATATTTCAGTGCCCACAGTCAATTAAGCATGTATGCATTTAAAACTTTATTAAATTTTGCGATCGGTGGTCAAGAATTCACAAATGCAATGGTTGATGGTGGAGTAGTTGAAATGCTTCAAATGGTTGTCATTCAGGAGCTAGAGAAAGAGGAAATTGATGAAGAGGCTGTTTGTGCTTTGCTTTCCTTATTATCTCTTATCAACGAAAATGATACAGAAATATTGTACAGTGATGAAATTAATGCAGGGGTTTTGAAAGTCCTAACTAATACTGCTGATATTGATGTTTCGGAGTTATGCCTCGATATACTTCATGCCCAAGCTGAGCATGGTAAATCATCATTATTATTATGATAACTGAGATATTTACATTTATTATTATGATAACTGAACCGAAATCTCAACAAAAAAATAACATTATGACATAACATATTTCAAAGAAAATGATTACACATAAAAGATAGATATATACATTAAAGCATTACAGATAATTGAAAAACGTTGAAATATAAATGATGTCATAATAAAGTCCAATAGGTATAAGAAAAACAAACTCTCACACCTTCATACTTTATAATACATTTTAATATGAAATTGTATTTCAAACTTATGTGAGCCTTAGTATACCCCAGCTTCCACCAGCGATCTTGTATTGNATTACACATAAAAGATAGATATATACATTAAAGCATTACAGATAATTGAAAAACGTTGAAATATAAATGATGTCATAATAAAGTCCAATAGGTATAAGAAAAACAAACTCTCACACCTTCATACTTTATAATACATTTTAATATGAAATTGTATTTCAAACTTATGTGAGCCTTAGTATACCCCAGCTTCCACCAGCGATCTTGTATTGTCCTTCTCAAATAGCTTAAGTGACAAAGGTTGTTAAGTACAGTAGATCACATATTACCTTTTCAGATTCTGTAAAGACCTTAATAGCAAAACATGGTGGTATCCAAGTAGTTTGTTCTCGTATTGAACAGCTAATGCAAAAGTTTGATCACGGAGAACTTGATGCAGATCAATCTGATGTTGAGGCCATCCTGAAGCAAGCTTGTGATTTAATAGTCATTGTTTTGACTGGAGGTATACCTAAATGATTGAGATATTTTAAATAAATGGGCATGAATGAATGACTTATTGCAAACGGGCAAATGGTGATTTAGAGTGTCTGTTTGCTAACTTATGTCATTTTAACTTTTTATTAAAATATCTTATTATGACAAGATGTCATTAACAAACGAAATATAGTTAGGTACTGTTTGTCAATCCTATTATTGTTGCTTAGCATTAGCTATTATTGATTAAAATAAGTGCAATACAAATTTGCTTAGTTTTCAGCACAATCAATTTTTTTTAAAGATTATTAAATCTTAAGGATATTCTTAGGATTTTGTCAGGCAAATGTAATGCTTACATAAATAGCTATATGATATGCTATAATAGCATTTGTAGAACTTATTTACTGATTTTTACAAAAAAACAATTTTACAAAAAATCAGTATGGATATAGCTTGAGCCCTGAGAAACGAATGTAGACTACTTTTATTCCACTTTTGAGTATAGATTCCAGTTAACCTAACTTAAAATTTAGTGAAGTGACGCTATTGGCGTAAACTAGTAGAAAATAAATAAAATATTTAAGTGAATACTCTATTACTTATGCAGATGAAGCAATGCACATACTATACAACAAAGGTCTCGGTGAAGTTTACATCTCAATGGTAAAATGGCTGGAGCACACTAACTACCACCTAATAACTACAGGTGTCCTTGCTATTGGAAACTTTGCCAGACAAGATGACTATTGTGCACAGATGATGGACGATAAGATATATGATAAATTGTTGGGTATGTGAACAAATTTTTAATTAGAATAATAAATTTAACTAAAAATACAGCATATCTCCATTTCCACCATTACTTTGCTGTAGTGTACTGTAGGTGTACTGGCTACCTGTAACATGTTGGCCAAGGTAGAGTCAACATAATAATATACATAGACATAATTAGTAGTTTGGCTATATACGGAACAAACAAAAAATTTACAAGCAGCACTGGAGAATCGTGAAAGGGCACTAAATAGCCTGATATGCTAAGTGACCAGAGTGACCAATGGCTATGGATAAATAAGTATTCTAGTCAAACCCACACCTAATTTTATAACTGATTACTGAAGTCTTAAGGCATCATAAAGTAAATGGTGTCACCCAATATGAGACATTGAGGTCACAGTTGCAATTGTATAATGCCCATCCCACGCTCCAACCTGTAATGTATGATTATTACACCACCGAAATATACAGGATACCTACCTATGCGAAGCTTAATATATGTCTCATAATGCAATGTTTTCCAAGCACACTTTATGTTTGTTGATATATTTTTTATGTGTGTTCAATTTGCAGATCTCTTTGATGTATATGTAAGTTTCGGAGTTCAAATGCAAAAGGAACATAGTGTGTTACATCCGATAGAACCTGGAACCATCACAAAGATCCAGCATGCTATATTGTCCGCTCTCCGGAATCTCACGGTGCCTGTGGCGAATAAAAGGATAATAGCGGCTCAGGGAAGGGCTGCGCCTACGTTGCTGGGGGCATTGCTTTCGGTAGAAGATCATCATGTAGCTTACAAACTTCTGGCTGCCATCAGGATGCTTGTTGATGGTCAAGGTAATAAAACTGTCCGTGAATAACTATTTTTCATTTTAAAAATAATACTTGTTTATTATGGCACAGGTAGACAAGCTCGCGGCCCATCTAGGCTAAAGTGGCTACCGAAACGTATAGGTTTCACAATGTGAATGCTGCCATCCGCAGAGATTTCGAGCTCATTATATGAGCTCGAAATCTCTGAAAGCGCTTTAGTCCTCTTTTAAGACAGCCGTTGTCATTTACCTTAGGTTATTTTTTTTTTATTGCATAGATGGGTGGGCGAGCTCACAGCCCACCTGGTGTTAAGCGGTTACTGGAGCCCATAGACATCTACAACGTAAATGCGCCACCCACCTCCAGATATAAGTTCTAAGGTCTCAAGTATAGTTACAACGGCTGCCCCACCCTTCAAATCGAATCGCATTACTGCTTCACTGCTGAAATATGCAGGGTGGTGGTACCTACCCGTGCGGACTCACAAGAGGTCCTACCACCAGTAAAAAAGTAGTAATATTTGTTGTCGCAAAATATTGATGTACTACTGTTATCATTTGTAACAGAGAGTGTTGCCCGTCTGTTGGGCCGTCACAAGTCAGCGTTGCGTTGCGTGGCGCGCTGGGGGCACGCGGGGGAGTACGCGGGCGCGGCGGGGGAGGCGCCCCGCCTGCTCGCCTGGGCCGTCAAGCTTCTCACGCGCGGACCCTACTGGCACAATATCGTCGAGGTATCTATTCGTGTCACTTCTATATTTTATATTGAACATGGAATTGATATGCGTCAGGAATAGGCAACGTTTTTGGAATTACAAACGAAGTAAATAGCAAATGGTTAAGGGAGTGAGTGACACACGAGGTCAAAATTTCAATTAAATGTGCGTGCGCTCTTCAAAACGCAAAAATTTCGCAGCAGTAATGGGCAGGATGGTAGTACTCAGGGTATTTCTGCATCGCCAATTTGAAACTCCGCATTTTCGCATCATTGAATAAGAATACACCGTTTTACACATACTCTGGCTATAGGCGTACGATAGATGGAGTTGTGATAAGTGTAATAATAAAAATTGGTAAAATTAAGGCCGTCTACGTAAAAGTGGCCTAACCCACAATTTTTCATATTGCAATTTATTTAAAACATAATAAGGTTTGATGCAAAACCGGCCTATCCCTAGTTTCACCCATAGATAACAGATGGTTTTGGAAATATTATTTTTGCACGTATTGTAAAGGTAAATTCAAACCTCATCTTACTAACAATGGTAAGCTTAAGCCACTTTTGCGTTGACGGCCTCATTATGAAAATATATTTTCAGGTGGACGGCTGTATATCCAGTTTAGTCAATATGCTGGTGGCCAGTCACTCGCTAATGCAGAACGAAGCCATTCTCGCTCTGACGCTATNTGGTTTTGGAAATATTATTTTTGCACGTATTGTAAAGGTAAATTCAAACCTCATCTTACTAACAATGGTAAGCTTAAGCCACTTTTGCGTTGACGGCCTCATTATGAAAATATATTTTCAGGTGGACGGCTGTATATCCAGTTTAGTCAATATGCTGGTGGCCAGTCACTCGCTAATGCAGAACGAAGCCATTCTCGCTTTGACGCTATTAGCTATTGAAACATTAAAAAATATTTCTCCCTCGAGTGAACATCCAGAATTCGATTACGAAAAAAGCTTTATCTCTCAGTTGATTAAGTCGGAAATCGGTAAGCACGTTTCCATACTAGTCGATACGAACTGCGCTAAAATGCCTATCGAGGTAGCGGAGAACCTTCTCGCCTTCCTAGACATCACTTCGAAGAAGAATAAATTAGCTCTCGATTATAAGGAGGCTAAAGTGACAGAGTCCTTGAAGAAGTTCGCTGAATCCAGACAGGATCTGAGCGAGGATCTCAAGAATTGTATCACTGGTGTAATCGCAGCTATCTCAGACAATGGGAAAGATTAAAAAAAATCGATTCCAAAATTCATTTCGGATGATGACTTTCGAATTTATATTCGCATTTACTATTTTCATAATAGATTCTATGGTTTAGTTGAAGCAATTCGATTTTTGAGTATTATCTTGATGTAACTCACTTCCAAGTAGATGATTTGGAGGTAATATTTAAAAAAAAAAGTTTCTCGAATATATTACCCAGTGACCCCTATTCAAATCATGAAAATAATTTCATGTAGGTATTTACTGTCATTAAAAAAAAACTACTATAGATGTAATTCTTTAATATGCTTTTAATGTTATCTAGTCATAGTTAAAAAAAAAAGTGTTTTATTAAATGTATTGCAAAATCTATTTGCGTCTAAATATTGCTACCTTAATATTTTACGTGTATTCAAGAAATAGTACATTCCAGAATTTGTATTCAGTGAAGTGGTACAAATTATAGTTTCGGTAATAGTTTTATTAGCTTTGAGTTAAATCTGTTTGTGTCGTAGGGTAGGCATTTGAATCGTGGAAGCTTTTGTCAACTGATTGAAATACCATTTTCTATTACATGCGCACTCCAATACACCAAAGAAGGTTTACCGATGATAGCAAAAAAAATATATAATTTCAATTTAAATATATATATTTGAGTAATAAGATGAATTAATATTGACCTTTGTAGGGGGACCATTAAGTACTATAACAAAATGTTATACAGAGTCAACTGGTCTGTTTTAAAGTCTTGCCCTATGGCAAGACTTTAAAAAACTCGCTCAATTGTGAGCGAGTTCGTCCCGAATCCTTTTGCACAAACTCGTACTTGTGTTGAACAATTTTGCGCCAAATACGCTGTTTCTAGACAACGTGTTACCGCAAAATATCCACGCGACACAAGCAATTCTACTATACGTATCTTGATGATTATCTTCGGCTATACGATTTCCACCTTTTTTTTATTGCGCGAGCAGACAGACGAGTATATGGCCCACCTAATGGTAAGTAGTTATCGTCGCTCATGGACCTCAGCAATGCCAGGGGTAGAGCCAAGCCGCTGCCTACCTACTCTAAAAAATGTAAGATTCACATAAAGAAACAACTATTAGTTCTGCTATGAATACAAAGAAATAGTTATACTTAATACTCAATGTACAATGTAGATTAATGTTTTTATTATCTTTGTATGCGAATTATTGTGGCATAGCTTAAGTAATTTAATATAGATTATTGTACTACGTACTTGTGTATGTTGGCTTCGTTTTTAAGTTGCCACTTATAATAATTTGCATAGAAACATCAGTTATTTCTAAATATTTTGTTGTGTTTGGTGCCAAAGTTACGATTTGCTATTAGATAAATCATTATTATTACTCTTATTATTACTAAAGGGGTTTTCAAATATCTTTACACGTTTATTGCTTACCTTGGTGCAATAAATTTCAGAACAGTTAAGAATTGTGCAATTAAAAAATATTTTTAAGATTTATATTATTCTCACGATGTTTTAAGACCCTATTGTGCACTTATATACGTAGTTAATACGCTTCTAAAATGGTAAACGTGTTTAAAAAACAAACACAACTTGTGTAGTTCTAAGCTGAGAAATATTAAAAGTGGATTGATCTCTGGGTTATACAACTATCCTGTTCACTCTCTTCTATCTGAAAAAGAGATAGCAATACCATTGACAAGTGGTCTGCGTGCGCATTTTCACTCTAGCCTAAAGGCTTGACGGATAATGGTTTAATCAGTATCAGTATAAATAGTAGGTGCAATTCATTCTTCAATTTGTGTAAAATAAAAAGCGACCAAATTAGATATTATAACTAGAGCACGGCTAAAGTTATTGTTGAAAATTTGTATGTGTAACTTATTTTTAATTCTTTATAAATAGTGTCTCAATTAAATACTTAGATATTTATTTTTATTTGTAGCATTTTACTTGTTTATATTTTGTATAATAAATGCCATGCTCTGAATGTGTGACCGCAGTTATTGATTTCGACTGTTTTATGGGAAAACATTTAATATCAAATACATTTTATGTATATAATATATCCAAACAGAAATACGTATGTACTTGTTGTATAAAAAAAAAATTTACGCATTTTAATGTCACCCAATTCTTGCACTCAGAACATTGAACAATGCAATATGATTAATCACAAACCCAATTCCTCTGTATGTTTTTGTGAAATAAATTTATCTTAAATGTATTTCATTTTAATTTGATGATAATAAATAACCAAGTAAAATAAAAAAATACCTTTTTTGTCAATTCACATTTATTATATTATTAAATGAACTTAATGTATCATGGTCGAGTGTTGCGACAATGATAATCTAAATCTCAATTCTTCATCTTCCAATAGATGGTTTTCTTGAACGCTTTCTGGATTGGCACATCCCGCAACTGCAAAGTAAAATTGTAAAGTTAACTAGTGGTGGTTGTAAGCAAAAGTAAGTTTATTTTCAATCACCTAATCAACGACTGAACCTGAACTGTAGAATACAATATTTCGAATCACCGATCACTAGACTGATGAGACAATTATAACAAATGAAGAATTACCTGGACATCTGATTCTATGCTTCCTTCTTATGAGATTCAAAATAGTCTCTCTTTCATACACATGGCCACACATTGTATTCTTCACTGGATCTGATATATGTTTTTTGGTAATTGGATCTAGCTGAAAATCGAAAATTTTAAAATTTTAAAATCTAGAGGAAACTTTTACATATTAAAAATAAAACTGAAGTTTCAGATAGACTGAAAGAAGCTTTTATAGAGGTTCGAGAATCTCATTTTCTGAGATATTTTTCACATTTGAATGAACTTTGAGTAATTACTGTACAAGCTTTATGGTTGTTATATAGGTGAGTGTATATATGGGTTATTTATTTCTTTACAAATCAATATCATCAAATTATACCTATTAAAATAATACAATTATATTGGAATAATACTTACAAACTGCTCATTTGTTTGGACAATAGCTATATCAGATTCATTCAGGTTTTCTGTAACTAAAATGTTTTATATTAAATTTACACTTTAGCAGGGTGCGATTTTTTCCTGAATATATTCAGAAAGTTAACAGAGCTGATTATCAAAAGAAAGAAATAAAAAATAATATTAACATTAAAGTCAGTCAATGCAGCAAGTCCCCCATTTCTCAGCATTCTTCAGCATTCCTGAGTGCTTATGTCATATCCCTCTCAAATGATGTGTGCATAGAGTATTCAGCAGTTGCAGCTTGGCAGTATCTTGGCTGTGCCCCTGATATTGCTTACGATCATGAGTGATGGTAACATGGCCCATATGCCTACATAGGCGAGATAAAACAAAACAATTATTTGTTTGTGTTAAGGAAATAGTTGTTTTAAGCCTATCCTGAATTACAATATATTTATAAATAATCTTATAGTAGTAACAATTCCCTAGTTACAATCAAAATGGAAATTAATTATCTAATCATTCTATTATAAAGATGAACTTCCATTTAAGAAAAACAGAATTCAATTCATGTCAATACTGATTGGTAGTTTATTTTCATATTTTGGTATTGTTTGCAAGTTGAATGGAGTTTCACTACTCATAATAGTGAATAGTTGGTTACCCAGTAATATCATATTAAACTATATTTAGATCCAATACTCACGTCCTGATGAAGATACACTTTGTAATCCACTTTCATATCTAGTCTTTAATTCTTGCATGTATCTATGGCTGTTAGGATTAATTCTGTTCTGTGAAAGAGTTTTCAGGCCATCCTCGAATCTTTCTTGGAGTGTATTTATGTTTGATATGTTAGTATCTGCCTAGAATTTAAACGAAGAATTTTTAGATTCTTAATTTCTTAATATTTTATAAAAAATGTAAAAGATTGCCCTATGTTTTTCCGCTAATGAAGTAATAATGATTCGCTAAAAACATTATCTTTATTTATATATACAAACGAATTAATTGTGCTATGCTGTTCTATGTTATACTATGTTCTGTTTCAGAAAAATTGTTGAAAACGTGTTGAATATTTTTTGAAATATTATGTATATATTACACACAACTAGCTTTTTTTTCTATTAGCTTGGTTGTTAGATAGAATTTACTTAAATTGAAAACGATAAAATCGTACTTTTTCAACAAACCTTTGCTGCCTCTAAAGCCTGCTCAGCAACTTCTTGTTCTATTTCCAATAAGCAGTAATTTTCCATGTACATCTTAAGTTTTTCATAATTGTCTTCCTTGTCCTCTTGCAAATATTTAGCGACATTTTCCGCAGTCGAGATCAAGCTTTGAATACACTGCTTTCTCAGATCTCGAATGTCTATATCAGCCATAATTTCAAATTTTCAAATGTCCAATAAAATTTTATGAAAGAATACGCTTTTATCTTTATTAAGGATTGCCTAGGCAAAGGAAGCATAGCACATACACTATTTGTATTCTAATTTCAAATTCATGATTTTTTTTGTTAGCCTTATTATCGTTCGGAAATTGAAAGAGGCTTGTTTGTGTGAGTGGGCTCGGGCCCAATGATGGTATTTAGGGCCCTACCCACTAAGCGACTCCCCAACACTTTCTTCCAAGCGTCTTATCCCCTTCGAGGTCAGAACCAGGGCCAGGTCATGAGGTTACCGCGTTAACACTGCAACCAGACGCACCTTACCCCAAGGACTCCCGTCCAACGGAGTCTTCGAGGCGAAATGAAGGTTCTGAAACACTAGTCACCTGAGTACGGTTGCCAATAAGGCCGCCGAGGCGGTGCCGCTAGTGTATCGAGATACCCCAGTAGTTCGGAGCAGAGATTATATACACTTAACATGTTCGGAGTCTGCCGGGTCCGGAGGCAATATCCCACCAACAGGTAGTACAGATTCTTTGCCTACCTCAGATTGTAATTAATTTAGGCTAAGCTTTCCTTTGTGGTCCGTCGATTTCGAAGTTCACAATTTTTTTGTATATAGTGCTCCTAAATAGAAAGCTTTTTGCAAAATTTTAAGTTGCGAAGACGGTAGAAGTATGGTTTACGAGTTAAACATTTTTAAAGTTTCCATATAAATTAGAAAAATCGTCGTCATAGTTGACGTTTCACGTTCCGTTCACGGTAAACGTGAATTTTATTAAATTTGATGTCATGTTTTTACCGAAATATATTATTATTTTATATTTATTTTATTATTTTAATATATTCACATAGTAAATTTGTTTATAATTAGTGTGCACAGCAATTGTTGCTGTAAGAAGCAATTATATTGACGTTTTCACACAAAAAGTAACAAAATTTTGTTTACACTGTGGAACGGAACGTGAAATGACGCATTTTTTTTATAGCGTCTTTTTATCTGTCTGTAATAAAATATATTTTTAAATACATATTAAAATTAAATAATTTTTTTATTATTTTTATTACATAAATATTTTTACAATTTTTTATTTACTACTATTAAATAAAAAATAGTAAAATTGCTCGTGTTTTGGTAATAAAATTGCATAAATATTCGAAAAATATCGAAAACCGAATCAGAGCACCCGACTTTCCACTTGGTCTTGTCTGCCCTACCCCTAGTGTTTTTAAAAATACCGGAGGCGCGGAGGGAGAGCTGTCCTCGCCTGCTGTGACGGAGCACGGAAACAGTGCGGAGCAGAGCACGAGTGACCGTGCTTCGGCACGCAAGGGCGGAAGGATTGCTCTTCCCGCAGCGCCCGAGATAAGACGGATTCCAACTTAAGCTCCCTTCGAGTTTGACTAAATAATGCAATTTTGATCAAAAAATTAACCATGGGGATCTGCGGCTTGGTGACGGCGCAGTAGTAAGCCCTCACATCCCTCCTTCCTCGACTCAAAAATAATGGATCATAATTGAAATTTTAACTCTATGTTGACTAAATAGTGCTATTTTAACCTCAAAACATTAACCGTGGATATCTTCATAACCATGGAGTTCCGCGGAGTGGGGATGGTGCAGGGGGTTAGCCCTTACTTCCCTCCCTCTCGACTCAAAAATTGATGGGCCCTCATCTAAATTTTAACCCTATTTTGACTAAATAGTGCTATTCTAACCTCAAAACACCGTGAATATCTTCATAACCATGGATTTCCGCGGGGTGGGAATGGTGCAGGGTAAACCCTTACCCCCCTCCCACCCCGACCCAAAAATCGAAGGACCATAAAGGAAAGTTTAACCAAATTGTATATTTGCTTGGATAATAAGATACATAAATATACGCATCACTTTAAAACATTTTACTGATTTCTCAATTATGATCGTTGTAAATAAGTCTCCGTAAAGGTATTTATTTCCTACTCAACTATTATATGTTAATTGCCGTATAAAAGGTAAGCTTGGAAGTTTTTTTTAAAACGCGATTGTATTGATACACGATGAACGCAGTACATTGAGGGTTTATAAAAAAAAAACATCGTCTCTTTTAAAGTTTATTGTTAAAATAATTACATACTTACATTCAATCTATAAGGCATTTGCAGATTCATACAGACTGCAATAAATATTATTTACCTATTCAAACATTTAGATAAATATACATTTAATATGTAAATAGTATCTTAACTTAAAAATACATCCAAACGAATCAATTGAGTGTAATTAAATTGAGCTTTTGGAATGGGATTAAATATATTTGATAACGAGTTTAGTATTTGTTATCATGTTTGTGTTTTTTTGGTCACTATTTCACACCAAGTGAGCCGTGAATTCATCTGATTTTCTACACTATTAAATGTACATCAGGCAAATTAAAACACCATATCATAGTCTAAATGATGGGCAGCAGCTCAGCTTGAACCTTTGTCATAGCAGATGCCTAGGACCATCAGTGACCATTTATAAACATGTATAATTTAGACATCTTCAATGATGGCTGGAATATTTTTAACTGATGCACTACCATTACTATTTCTAAGCCACATTTTCATATTATTATTTAAGTTACAATACATCAATATTTTTCGTTCTAAAACTTTATTTCATAAATTATGCTTATCGTTGACATTAATATTTTTTTGACTCGTAAAATTAACTTACATTAAGAATGACTTCTCAGTGCTGCTATATCGACATATTAAATATTAGTAAATCAATATGTTTGTGGTATTTTAAATAGACTGATAATAACGTGTCATAATGACACATAAAGACATGAGTTTGGTTTGAAATGAAGGGTGGGGTAGCCGTTGTAACTATATCTATATGTACCTTAGAACTCATATTTCAAGGTGGGTGGCCGCAGTTACATTGTAGATATCTATGGGCTCCAGTAACTACTTAACACCAGGTGGGCTGTAAGATTGTCCACCTATCTAAGCAATACAAAAAAAAAGTGAGACATATACGTGTTTTTTTTTATATATACAAAAGGTATTTATCTTGTGTTTTCTTTCAAATTACCTGGCAGCACTGTAGCCGCTGCCCACAGTATAAATAAAGCAACCAACACATAAAGCCTGACAAGATGCTCGTCGACACAATATATAGCCTCACAAGAATTGCAACACTATACTGTAATCACACGGTAACACCGACGTGACCCAGAGCGGTCGATAGTTGTTTTAGATGTATTTTCATGTCGCCCGAGGACACGTTACGCCGAACGCCGATAACCTTGAAAGCGTTCAAATACTCCAACTCCGTGAATTGAGCACCCTTTTCGCGTACGGATGTTATTATTTCCTGTAGGTCGATAATAATTATATTAATTTAATAATAGTTGATTTTGTAACGCTATGTAGGGAGCGTTTATATGGTACGAAGAGTCCGATACTCATATAAAAGATTATTTATTTGTTTACTGCGTGGATCAAACTCACGGCACTACCCGATGTCAAGTGTACACCGGAGATTATGGACATCACAACGAGACATAAAATCGAAGTTCCAAATGTATTTTTTTTTAAAGGGATTTTATGACGTGGTTACTAAGACCTTTAAGTCATGTCTTATTTTAATTTATATTGTTATTTTTATGAAAAATTATAATATGGAGTGAAATGAATGAAATATAATCTTAACAAAATGGTTGTCATTTACTGAGATTTTTTCAGTGGACTTTTTGGAGGATCCCGAGACGCTACGTCCAGCGGCTTTGTTTCATTTTCCCACATGTGTGCACTTTGACAGATACTAAACAGTTAATAAACCATCGTTATCAACACGTTTAAGCCTGAAGAAACACTAAATAGACAAAATAAAACAAATCGCACAACCTCACTCCTCGCGTTCCCGCCAAAAAGTCCGTTCCAAACGTATTGCGTAATGGGTGTCCCATCCTTCTAGTCGGGACGCACAAGCAGCAGAAATAGACAGGTTGATATATTAGCATGTACGTCGTTCATAAACTTGAAGAATGAATGCCACTCTCGCCAGGCCGGCGGTTCTCAACCTCGGAGGCAGTTTCGCAAACATGTGACGTCATACCTGCGGAGTACACGCTAAGAGGTGTAAGTACGCGTGCGCTCTATGCAAGCCATCGTGAGGTAGATGTAGCGCAGCCAGACAGTGGCGCAGTGTCGCGAGTCGAGCCGCCGCCCCGCCCTCCGCCCCTCGCTCCCCCTGCCACCTCCACACTACCGCGGCCGACATCATCTCGCCTATACCGTTGAATATATACTGTAACAAACAATACACGTACCGTAGATTGTGGGGAATCGGGACCCTTTCCAAATCCAACACAAATTTTCAATGTTTTTTCTTACAGTAATACCAATAAAATTGAGATTAAAATGGTTCCGGAGGCTTCATTTTTATATACGATGCGTTATTTATTATACATAGTTGATTACAAAATATACACAAAAACTGCAAAAACTAGCTTGACCAAATTCACCTTGGCTTTGGGGTGAATCAGGTTACGTATGGGGACAATAGTTTTTCGATAGGTCTGGCACTATTTAGTTGTTAGGTAGGTACCTAACTTTAGGTAATTCATTTTTAATATCTTTAATGAGTTACAAAACTTTGATAACTAAATTAAACTATTTAATATTCTTAAACACTAAATAAAAGTCATTTTCAGTTCAACAAAGTTAAATCTAACAGCTCAACAAAAGTATTGTGACATCCTAGATTTGTTCCTATTCTACCTCTAGTCCCTATTCCCCCAATCTACTGTATATAAAGATGAAATTTCAGCACGGTCTATTGTTGTAGTGTTGCCAGTACTATTTCTCTCGAATAACTCACTTTTCACTAAAAAGTATGATTTTTTTTTGAGATGAACAAGAATTCATTGATGTAAGTATTTTTTGTCTTCAGAGCTATTGAAGATTTATAGTTACTTCAACAAACGTGGTTCAAAGAGTACTTTGCGTAAGAGTACGCAAGTTGTGGCATATCGGATGTTTTTGAGTGACTATGATCACTCTTGCAAGTGGATTGCAAGCTTTGTCTGCTGTATAATATTTCACTATGTTCTACTACCACGTGAGTTCCTCAGACTTGATCAGTTTCAGATTTCAATCAATATGTTACGGTAAATGTACACTTTTACCGGTAAATGTGCACATTTGCCAAACAGGTATATGTGAACTGAATATAATGTATGTAGGATTGGTAAGAACGGAACGTATGAATAGAGTGTGAAACGGAGCGTTAAGATGTGAGTGAGAGAAAACGGAAAGAAAGGGAGAAAAGAATGACAGATAGAATGACAGAGAATAGAAAGATGGCGACGACGGTTGAAAAATGAGCAAGACGTAATAAAACTGTTAATTATTAATTATTATTATAACTGAAGATTTTGGAACAGTGGAAGTTTTATTTTATGCGCTGCGATCCCTATTCTACATTTATGTGTATATTTACCGCAATATCGAATTTTACCGTAACAGATACATTATACAATTGGTTTACTGACTGCGAGCCTAGAGGGCGCCAGTACAGCAGACGCGTGTTCGTGGAAGGCCAGCAACGCATGGGCCAGCTGCGCTGCTCCTCCGGACTGTTGGCTGTCCGCTTCGGAGCCGTTTTCACCTTCGCGATCCTCTTGACCCAAATAATGAAAGCACTCTATACGCATCTGAAAAAAGTTAAATAAAATTTACATTTTTTTTTATTGCTTTGATAGGGGTGGACGAGCTCATAGCCCACCTGGTGTTAAGTGGTTACTAGAGCCTATAGACATCTACAACGTAAATGCGCCACCCACCTTGAGATATAAGTTCTAAGATTTCAGTATAGTTATAACGGCTGTCCTACCCTTCAAACCGAAACGCATTACTGCTTCGCGGAAAGAGGCAGGGCGGTGGTAACTACCCGTGCGGACTCACAAGAGGTCCTACCACCAGTAAAATTCGATGATACTCTCTTTAGTGTAGTGTAGTGCAGTGGTGTGTTTAATTGAATATGGATAGAAAGTGGAGCTACAAGTCCCACTAACTACATTACACATTATAGGTCTATTCGATCAATACTCAATATGTAAGCAACTCAGGCTCCGTGGAGTGATGACTTGTGCAGAGTGGCTGGCAGGAGCTGGATGAGAAAAGCCGAGAATCATCCTCAGTGTCAAGTAATTGGAGAGGCCTATGTATAGATGATGATAAAAAATTGATATTCCTGACAAATTAAGGTGCATTAAATTAATTGTTCGAACTCACCTCCAAATGCAAGAAAAGCAAGCATTTATGTGTTATCTCATCGAATACAGACGCTGCAGCAGATATGTCGTTCAGGAATTTCTCGGAGAGCTTCATTGCACCGGATAACATTGAGGGAATGCTTCTTATATTTGCACTTAGCCAATCCTGTAACGTGAAGTAAGAGACCGTATATACTGAACTTTATTTTCTAGGTTTTACGGCTCATTATTGTTGGATTACAGCTTTTCTGAAGGAGAGTGGGTAGGAGCTAGTGGTATTTGCCATAGTTTCGCTAAATTAATACATATATAGACCAGGATCCTGTCTTTCTCCAATCGTGGTTTCTAGTGTGAAGACCATCCATTGACTTTGATTTAATGATTCATCATATAAACCTACGAAGTATACCACCTGACAAAGTCGATGGATTCCAGCACACTTGGTTGCATAGTCAGACGTACCCATAAAATTGTTTTCACTTCTTTTTTTTTGTTATTTCCCGTGAAGGCATTCGATCATAGGGCCCACCTGGTGATGGTTACTGTCGCTCATGGATGTCAGCAATGCTCGTTTGAGACAAGTCGATCACTCGCTCTAGGATTATTCCATTTGTTGATAGAGGCCTCTATAGCCATATCTAAAGCTAGGAGTCGTCGTGGCCTAACGGATAAGACGTGTTGAGCGATGCACCGGTGTTCGAATCTCAGGCGGGTACCAATTTTACTAATGAAATACTCAACAAATGATCACGATTGGCTTCCACGGTGAAGGAATAACATCGTGTAATAAAAATGAAACCCGCAAAATTATAATTTGCGTAATTACTGGTGGTAGGACCTCCTGTGAGTCCGCACGGGTAGGTACCACCACTCCGCTTATTTCTGCCGTAAAGCAGTAATGCGTTTCGGTTTGAAGGGTGGGGCAGCCGTTGTAACTATACTTTAGACCTTAGAACTTATATCTCAAGGTGGGTGGCGCATATACCTCGTGGATGTCTATGGGCTCCAGTAACCACTTAACACCAAGTGGGCCGTGAGATCGTCCAGCAATCTAAGCAATAAAAAAAAAAATGTGTGCGTGTACTAGTGTACACACGTAAGAAGTGAAACTTCTTTATGGCCTTATTTTTCGAAAAATGATCTACATGCAACTTTCTAGAAATTGGTTAAATAAAGTTAAATTAGATAAAGTTTAAACAAAAGGATTTTATTATCATAGACATGAATACAAAAAAGTTAAATTAGATAAAGTTTAAACAAAAGGATTTTATTATCATAGACATGAATACAAAAAAGTTAAATTAGATAAAGTTTAAACAAAAGGATTTTATTATCATAGACATGAATACAAAAAAGATGGCGCGTAACGGAAAAATGTGACGCGTAACCGAAAAATGTGACGGTAAATTTTTTTCCAACGCCGATAAAGAAGTTTCACTTCAAAAAGATTTTCATAAAGCAGCTCTCCAATAGAAGTACTGTTTCCGATCTAGGAATAAGCCTCATTAAACTTTGAATTCAATACGTTTAAATTGTGCTCAGTGAGTTTTATACCATTGTCTCGCACAGGACGGCTATGTCGGCGAGCGTATTCATGTCCGATATGATTTCTTTGCGTGTAACGGCGCCGTCGCCCAAACTCGAACCCAAGATCTCGGCTTCCCGTTCGTAGGCCTGTTTCAGTTCCTGCAACATTTAATAATTCGTTTGGGAATAGAGGAACATTAGGATTCAACCTCGTTCATTTTACAAATATGCGAAACACTTAAAAAAAAATAGAATAAGAAATGCATTTTTTTTACTATGGTCACAGAACTAAATAGAATCTACATACATTAATATTCAACTTAAGTAAAAAAAATGAGTACAATATTGAATTCACACTTCTGAATGTGCACATTGTTTTAAAAGTAAATTGGACAAATTAATAGTAAATCGGAAAAATTTACTAGTAAAGACATGTCTTGAATTATGCATCACAGGACTAACTTCTAGTCATTAAGTACTGGATCCAAACAATATGTATATGAAGACATGAGTGGATGAAGGGGATATGATATAATTTGTTAATTTGGAAGAAAATGGGCAACAAACTTTTGTTACTTGTACTTTTTCTTCGTACATAACTACTTTATCACGTGCAATTTCTAAAAATAGCCTTTAAGCCCGGAGCTTTAAGGTCTAATATGGTTGATATATATATAACTCCTTCATTCAATGTACAAATACTCAAAAATCTTAAAAATGGTACTTAACCCACTATGCACTTTTTTTATTGCTTAGTTGGTTGGACGACCTCACGGCCCACCTGGTATTGAGTGTTTACTGGAGCCCATAGACATCTTCAAGGTAAATTATAATTTTTCTACAATCTACAATGTAAATGCGCCACCCACCTTGAGACATGAGTTCTAAGGCCTCACATGTAACAGTACAACGGCTGCCCCACCCTTCAAACCGAAACGCATTACTGCTTCACGGCAGAAATAGGCGAGATGGTGGTACCTACCCGTGCGGGCTCACAAGAGGTCCTACCACTAGTAACGAAACCATATCGATAAATTTAACGAAGAATCATCGAGATTTTACAATTACAGATTTAAAATGTACCATTAAGCACAGGTTCGTTTCTGCAACTTTCCAATGAGATACTTGCTTTTAAAATATCAATGATTATTTGAATCATTTAATCAGATATAAAAGTCTGGAAACTATTATAATAATACTATATTATCACGTCAACCTTATTTTTAGGCATAGTCTTCTGACTAGGAAGTTTTGTGACTTACATACTCGTGGTAGGACTCATGCAGAGGCGGATTATCCGTTAGGCAAACTAGGCACGTGTCTAGAGGCGTGTGGTTACAAGGGGCGCGCGAGCTCAGAATTTTTAAATAAATAAAGAAAATAACATATCGACGATTAAGAAGTAAATGCCTGAACTAAATGTCCTGGTCTACTAAAGTCTAGGGATTGATGATACAACTAGTTAAAATTTATAGTATTATGATGGCCATTTATGGCCGGTACAGGGGTGCCGATAAAGCGATTGCCTAGGGCGCTTTGCACCTTTAATCCGCCACTCATGCCTTCATATGAAGAAGATTTTATTATTTCGAATACAGAACGGTTGGAGCACCTGAGCGCTCTGTTTAGTTTCGGGCACGTCGCCGGTCATCGCCTTCCAGTTGTGCAGCGACTGCAGGAACCGCACGATGTCGTCGTCGGCGAGCCAGCGGGCGGCGCGCGCGGCGGCGGGCGGCGCGGCGTGCGGGCACGCGCGGCACTGCGTCGCCAGCGGACTCAGCGTGCCCGCCACCGCGCGCGCCGCCTCCGTGCCGCCGCTCGCGCCGCAGCGACGCGCGTGCCGCATCGCGCCGTGCACCGCCTGCCAGCTGTACGCGCAGCACGCGAACACGACGCGGTGACGCTCCCTGGATGAAACNGGCGGCGCGCGCGGCGGCGGGCGGCGCGGCGTGCGGGCACGCGCGGCACTGCGTCGCCAGCGGACTCAGCGTGCCCGCCACCGCGCGCGCCGCCTCCGTGCCGCCGCTCGCGCCGCAGCGACGCGCGTGCCGCATCGCGCCGTGCACCGCCTGCCAGCTGTACGCGCAGCACGCGAACACGACGCGGTGACGCTCCCTGGATGAAACACGTTTTATTAATTGTAACTTCTGATTGATTAGATCCAACATGTATATTTATTAATAAAAAGTTACATTTTCATTTAAACCATGCCTCGCAAAACTGCTTACGCAGTTTGACTGCAGGTAACTCGCTTTATATAAATACTAGCTGTACCCGTCCACTTCGCTGGGCATTTAAAATTAACATTATTATTTCTCACCCCCGCAAAGATTCTCACCATTAACACCCCCGCAACTGGCGTAGGGTGTCCAACACTCATATAAATATTAGCCTATCCATTAAGTACATGTATTTTCTACATGTATATCAAGTTTCAAGTTAATCGGATGCATGGTTCAGTAGTTATAACGGAACATCCGTAAAAACCACTGTAGATTTATTTATATTAGTATAGATAGCTTATAGATTATTAAATTAGGTTATATTAATACAATTAATTTACGTAAATGGTTACAACGTATTTAACCAGTGTTTTTTAATAAGCTTTTAAAGTTAGCAAGTACGCTCACGTCTTATGTACTAATATAAACGATTGCTCTCACTCTGCAGAACATAGTGCCACATGGCGTCGAATTGCGAGAGCATCGGTACCGAAGGATTTCGACTGATGTATCACCACGACCATGTCAAGAGTGTACGACTAGGATGAAGAAGATTAATTAGATTTACGTTGGTACTGATTCACGCAGAGTTTCTAGAAGAGCAGATAGATTATCGTATGTAATGTAGTATTCTTTTTTTTTATTGCTTAGATGGGTGGACGAGCACAGAGCCCACCTGGTGTTAAGTGATTACTGGAGCCCATAGACGTCTACGACGTAAATGCGCTACCCATCTTGAGATATAAGTTCTAAGGTCTCAAGTATAGTTACAACGGCTGCCCCACCCTTCAAGCCGAAACGCATTAGTACTTCACGGCAGAAATAGGCAGGGTGGTGGTACCTATTCGCGCGGACTTATTAGAGGTCCTACCACCAGTGCATAACTACAGTATACTTTGACTTGATAATGTTTATTTTTATTATTTGTCATTAAACTCACCCAGATTTAGCGTTGGTAGCGGGTGGTGGAACTCTTTCTCTCCAAGCGGACGGAGATCTCATGGCCTCGTCAATAGCGGCGCGCGCGATACTAGCCAGTCTCTCGCTTTCGCCCGTACGCACGTAGTCCGTTATAAACGCACGTAACGAACATTCGCCGCCACTACGAAACACGACGTAGAATTTCAACAATTTTCAATTATTATTAAGGTTTTATTAAGATGAATAATTTTATTATAATCTATATATTAATACGTGCAGCAAAAACTTTGTACCCCTTTTTACGCAAATTGCGCGGACGGAGGAGTACGAAATTTCTCACACTTATAGAGAATATAGAGAAGGAGTGCACAATGCCAATATTTTTTTTAATTATGCATAAAAGATACTTATAAAGAAAACATTACACACACTACCATGTATTTGACACAACACATACATAAAAATATACTCTTTGTTTACTGTCAATTGGGAAACTTTTGTTATTGTTTAAAGTCTGTGGTCGAATTGAAAATAGATTAATATTGTTTGTCTTTAATATTATTGATCTATAGTGCAGTTACTGTGATTATATTATCGAAATATAATAGTGTTTGACAATAGAATCATAATAATGTTTAAACTTATAATTTCAATTAATTATAGTCGAAGCTCGACTACTGCGGGGCCACTAATGATAATATGCTATGGACATGTGATGCGTAGAGAGAAAATGCATGTGACTAAGACAGCGGTCGGGGAACTTTTTTAATTATTACCCCAAAATATTTTCGTTCAAGTTGATAATACCCCATGGCGAAGAACAAAAAAAAAACCGAAATCGCTTTATTTTAGCATTCATACTATAGGCATCATGATAATTTTGAAAAAAAAAAAATTTTTTTTCGTTTCGTTTCATTACGTTTCATCGAGTTTGAAATCACAACGATTCTAAAGAAGTTTCACTTCAATATATACTTTTTACTCACAAAAGTTTCATTTTTACCCTCCAAAATTTCATTTTACCCCATTTGGGGTCATTTACCCCGGTCCCCGACCGCTGGACTAGGAGATGTATGGAAATGGTAGCGCAAGGTAGAGGGGGAAGAGGTCGACCGAGGAAGACATGGATGAAGTGTCTGAATGACGATATGGGAGATAGAGAAGTGAGTGTTGAGATAACGGCTGATAGAAAAGAATGGAATAGAAAAAATTGCTGTGCCGACCCCACCTAGGGATAAGGTGAAGAAGAAGAAGATGATGATGATAATATCTGAAGGTTTGCAGAATGAAATTCGTGTAAACAAAAACTGAAATTGGTTATTTACTAATTTTTCGCAAATATTGTTACAAGAGTCCATGGACATCACTATGTGCATCCGAAATGGGACTTGAGAAGCATTTTCTTTCTTTTTCTTTAAAAATGAACGAACAATAATAGGAACTACTAGTGCGTAATTATAATACGCGTACAAAAGCAAAATTTCGTTATCTATAGTTAAATATTCAATTCAAAATAGAAAACGAAGTTACATGATCAAATAATATTGCAATCAATTGCACAAGTTTTTACACATTATGACTATTATTATATTATGTATTATAAAGACCGCCGAGGACAGGAAGATGTGGCGAAGCATTGTGCATCGAGTGGTCAACATTTCAAATCAGACACGACCTTCAGCAATGAACAGACCGACTTAGAAGAAGAAGAACATTACGAAAGCCTTTAAGAATTAAACAAGTATTGTGAATGATAATCTCACCCTGTAAGAGGTTCAATGTCGGCACACAAAGCGTGCAGAGCTGGCAACACCGCGTGCAGATGAGCCGGGTCGGCGCGGCACACGAGCGGGTACCCGTGCCGGCGAGCCTGCAGACTGGGCGTCACTGCGGTAGGGCCTGTACAAACAATGGATCCGACGTTACCTATCTCGTGCTGAGAAAAACAACTGACCTATGATTTTTTTTTATTGCCCATATAGGCAGACGAGCATACGGCCCACCTGATGGTGAGTGGTTACCGTAGACACATCAAAGGAAAAACAAAATTGTTATTTTTATTTAATTCCGGGCATTTTCATATTTATCTACCTTTAAACCTTCTCTGGACTTCCACAAATAATTCAAGACCAAGATTAGCCAAATCGGTCCAGCCGTTCTCGAGTTTTAGCGAGACTAACGAACAGCAATTCATTTTTATGTATATATAGATAGAAGATAGATAGATAATACAGTATAGATTTAAAGAAAAACATAACAATTTTAACATGACGCTGACCTGTAAATCTGAAGAGTTTGGTGTGTTGCCTCTGAGGTCGTTTCTTGGAGAAGTAGTCGGTCAGACGTAGTTGCGAACCGGCCGCTTCTACTGTGGTAGTGCCAGAGCGCTGAGCTGCTAAGTTCACACTCTCTATCTCCAAGTATTCAGTCAGCAGAAGTTGAAGCTACCAAGAGAATGCATGTTATAAATTCTTGCTTCAAGCTCTTTAAGGGCGGTCTGCACTCAATGTTACGCATAATAAATTAGCTTATTATAGTTTACTGTTGGACATACATCGGTAAAGCTAAAAATATAAACTTTCGTATTGGTATGTTCATTTTTATTGTCCTCTCATTTTATTCTTAATTCTTAGATCAGATTCAGAGACATCAACAACGTAAATGTGTTAGAACTGGCCTTCTTGCTATATGTAACCATCATAAGTTTATTAAGAAGAATAGTTGTTGCCTAGCAACAATTAGTTAGTCGTATAATTGTATGTGAAAAATAAAAAGTCAGTATGTACATCCGAAGATTGTTTCATTATTTAACATAATTACCACAAAAAGTCGCCGACCACCTTGAGACATGAGTTCTAAGGTCTCATTTTTTACTACAAAGGCTGCCATTTTGCCGGCAGAAATAGGCTTACGGAAAACAACGATTATTTACGAAATCCATTCAACCTGAATTTCTCATAGAACCATTGATCTCGCTTGTGTAAATATCTTGCGTGAATGCTTGTGTGAATGACAATAATGCATATTTAACGTCAATATTGAACACAAAAGAATTTGCCTTGATCATCAACTTTTTAGATCAATCAACGCCTGACAATATGCAAAAGCTTTCACTGTTTACACTTCTTACTTACAACTTGTTGTACAGCACTCCAGTAGTGTTGTTCTGTGTGCAGAGTTGCATCAGACAGTCGATGTTTCTGTAAGGCACCTCGCCATAACTGCAGAAGCCTATTAATGTTTTTTTGGGGAGTTATCAATATTTTCGCTATATAGCTTTATTTGGGTTATATTTATAAGACGAATTTTTAACACGGGACAGAATAGTGTTGCCATTAAATTCAACTGCTCATCATTTAATCTTCTGTGAGTGTGAGGGCAAGTCTGATACAGATTAAAACAAACTGTTTCTCTAGAAATTCAAACTGGCTTCACGTGTCAGTATGATCACTGATATTCACTTCATGTGGCTTATGGGCTCCAGTAACTGCTTAAAATCAGATTATTCATTTTTATTCTTGCTAATAATTTTATAGTTTCTCACTTAGTGCACATAGCAAGGTCCTCACAGAACCAATTGACTATGACAAATCGTACCGATTGCTCATGCGCTTACAAAACAAATCCATTGCAGGCTGTTAAGAGTTGTCTGAACAATAAGTCCCACAGCAAGTCGTTTTTTAAAAGTGACGGAATTTTGACACAAGTTCAGTCAATTATGACTAAAAGTAGTTTTTAAGTAAGAATGAAACCTCTTATTTCTTGCAGCGCACGCCCTAAGCTCTTCTCCCAGACTAGCGACCAATCTAGCGAGTGGTCTCCCGGCCTCTGTCACTCCCTCGGCTTCTTGTGTCTCGCCATCCTCGTCACACTCCTGGTCAATTTCTACGTCGCCTTCATCGATGATTCGGCGAGAGACCGAATCGATGACCTCTAGTAATTCATTTTGAATTTGCACCTTGAATTTCTGTGGGTTAACCAAAACGAATTGAATATTTTATGGAGATTTGTTTAAAAATATTTCACAATAAGTTTTTATTGTGTTCTGCACAAGTTTTTAATAGCAAATTGATAGTAATCAACAAGCAAAAAGGACCTTTTTAATGAAGTGATATTTTAGTTTTGTCTACCAACTGATATGATTAGTTTTTAATATAAGTTATTCACAAATAATTTAAAATAATTATATTTTTTTACCATTGGCAATTGTTGTTAAGTTAATTGAGTGATTTTTTGACAAGAAATCTAAGAACTTTTTAGACTAATTAATATGAACAGTGCATTATTGAAGACATGAAAATAATTGTTTCATAGTGCTATTAGATGGGACAGGAATACTGATCAATTTCCAATGCTCTATTACAAATATTTGTTCCAAAATGCGTTAGTACATATATTGTATATACCTCAGTAGCTTCCTTCAGTTGTTCCAGTACTCCTAAGGCTTCTAGTGATATCATAACAGTACTCTCAAATGTTTTGTCATCTTCAGAAAGAGATGCTTCATACTCAGGGGTGATATCTTGTAGATAAGCATCAGTCACTTCTTCATTCTTTGTCAGTTCTGCAAATTACAGAGGAATTCAGTTGAACACTTTTTGTAAATTTGGGAATGGAACAATAATTATTTGTTTTCGGGGTCAGTACATCTACCTTGTTTAGATTATTTTGTGTTCATTTGTCTGTTAGAAATTATTGAAATTTATGAATGTTTGTTACAGAAGTTAACAATATTCCATAGCAAGGAAACTTATAGTCCTGTACTTATTCATCACTGAAAACTCCATAAACTTCGAAGAAGGACCTGTCATAGTGCTCGGGCTTAGAGCTTATTAGCATTTGGATGTTATGTACAAAATTCAAAAAAATTAAACAAACCGGCCAGCAGGATTGCTGTACGCCTTCTAGCAGATAGTCTTCTCGTCATTGGTGCTGTTTCGCCACGATAAACTGCATCATTCACTCGACGAACAATAACATCTACCAGTTCACGTTTTTTTGCCTAAAAAATGTAACTTCAATATTTATTTTCTTCTTACAGTGCCCTTAAGACTGTTTGTTTTGAATCATACTTATTCATAGTTCATAGCTTAAAGTAGAAGCTACAAACTAGTTTTTTGCTAGTAAAATAAAAGTAAGAAAAAGTATTTTTAATCAGAATGGATCAAAATTTACCTGCAAATGCTGCCTTGTCGTGTTTAATGCGTCAACATGGGACAGTGTGGTGTCTGCTGTATCTAGGGCAGCTTTCAATGTATAAGCTGCGGCTAGTACACGACCAGCTGATAATGATTCGCGAGTTTCACGCTCCGAAACTACTACACGTTCACTAGCAAGACAAATAAGTTTTTATTTTTATTGTTCAAAAGGAAAGTTCAGTAATGTATAGTAAGGTAAATTTTGAGTCTGACTAATAGATGATACTAGTTTAAAAATATGATCTTGCTGAAATTATATTGTATGTTGTATTGTGATTTTGTTTCAGGATCAATCTCCAAACTCAGAATCCTTATTATATTTTATTAAAGGTAATATATAATATATTACTTATAATGTTGAAAATGGTTAATTGAACCTTAAATTTTCAAAATACACAGGTCTCTTGGTATTTAAGTCCAAAATAAATAAAATTTGTGAAAGCATGGGTAATAAACAGTAACTATCATTTATCATTCACTTACATATCAGTTAACATCTGTAGTGCATAGTGATGGGTTCTTGCATCCGCCCACAATCTTCTTAGGTCATCACGTCTTAATCGTAGCAAACCTCGGCATGCACCCAGACGAGCCACTGCTGCCTCACAATGCTGTCCCCATACTGATAAGGCTGTACCCACAGCTGTGAATTTCTAAACCAGTCACATTTACAATTTGTTTAATACTGTCCTATTTGAATTCAATATAAAATTCTCAATAAGTTTCTCTAGAGTACATACAATTAATTTTTTTTTAGACAAATAAAATACAGTTTTATGGCTTAAGGTAGATTTGTTTTCTCACTTGCATAACATCCGTAATCTCCTGTGCATGAACAGCAACTAGCTCATCCAGCCTTGCATCGCTCTTCTTGTACTCTTTCTCAAGTTTAGCGCGTTCCTTTTCACGTTGTTCATTGGTCTCACTCGCTGACAGTGTTCTGATCACCGACATTAGCAGGCCACTCTGAAGTATGTACATAATTAGGTTTTTCTTTGAAGATTAAACTTTCGCTACAATTACATGCGCTATGATAAATATAAACGTAATAAAAGAATCAATTATTCCTTTTGGATTTTTTTAGTTGTTTTGAGAAGTTTTCCAGTATTTCTAGATATAATAGTTGGATCCATGTTTATAAAATATAATTATTTCTCACCGTTTCTTTTCCTTGCTTAACCCCACGGGGTGGTTTCGTTGGTGGAGGAGAGGACATTGTGCCGCTATTAATGGTGTTTATAAACAAAGTTATTCGTTTTTGAAATAATTTCAAATAACTAGGAAGATAGATAGGTAGATAGATACATACCTACCCATAGATTATACACTTAATATATACCGTAAAATGGGGCGATTAGGGACAAATTCCAACTTTATGAGCAATTTTAAGGTAATTGTTGATGTATAAAATGCTATTTAAGGATCAAAATGATTGAGTCTTGGAGGCATCTTTGTTGTCTAATTTAAAATTATGCAACTAGCATTCCAGTTTAAGCAAAAAATGCAAAAATAGGTGTAATCCCTATTTACCCGAAAATTGCGGTTAATTGGGACGAAATGAGAAATTTGCTAGGGTTGGTACTACTTTTATTTTTATATATAGTTTTAATTTATTTATTTATTTAGGTGCACCAACAAAGTGATCATCAATAAATAAAATTGAAAAACTGACAAAAGTACATGGCAGACATCACCTCAATTATAGGTGCAATCGACAGTGCTGATATTTCTATCTGGGTTAAGAGATTAGGTGTGTCGGTTATTCCATGGATTAATCAGATGAATACCCCTACTCTGAACAAATATTAAATATTTTATTATGTTTTACTTAGACATTTTTGTCCACCTTGAGATTTCATTGATCTTGTTACATGTCTCTGCAAAATCGACTTACTTATATTAAATTGCTTATCTATTTCAACTAAAGACTTATTCCCAATTTCGCTTCGAATAAACCAGATTTTTACCAACAAATTTAAAAAATATTGTTATAACTACATAGACAACCCTACAAACCTGTACCTATTTATACTTAGGTCGTTTCCATTTCACGTATTCTCATCCCAANACACCTAATCTCTTAACCCAGATAGAAATATCAGCACTGTCGATTGCACCTATAATTGAGGTGATGTCTGCCATGTACTTTTGTCAGTTTTTCAATTTTTTTTATTGATGATCACTTTGTTGGTGCAACTAAATAAATAAATAAATTAAAACTATATATAAAAATAAAAGTAGTGCCAACCCTAGCAAATTTCTCATTTCGTCCCAATTAACCGCAATTTTCGGGTAAATAGGGATTACACCTATTTTTGCATTTTTTGCTTAAACTGGAATGCTAGTTGCATAATTTTAAATTAGACAACAAAGATACCCCCAAGACTCAATCATTTTGATCCTGATATAGCATTATATACATCAACAACTACCTTAAAATTGCTCATAAAGTTGGAATTTGTCCCGAATCGCCCCATTTTACGGTACTTATTAACTCCATGAGTATACTTCAGTGGGTGGTGTATATTGACCATAGACCTTTTTTTTTTATTCGTACCTAAGCTAATAGCCTTGACAGGCTATATCAGCGTCGCCTTAACTAGTAGGTGAGCTCACGGGGCACAAACCTGGTGATGTTGCTAACACGAACCCTAGCAAGAGCCGGGCTTCGTAGAATCTATCACCAGATCGGAAACGCGACCCACTGAGAAGATCCGGCGAAAAACTCAGTCGACTGTGTCTGAGGGTTAATTTACTCGTCGAGCCCTTCGTCGCAAGCGCCGGATTTGACGAGAACGATGACCGGTGCTTGAGGTACTTAAAAGCACCGTTAGTGGATCGGGAGGATCCGAAATGACGTTTTTGGGGCGACGTCGACTGCTTTCCATTCTGTCCGCAGGATCGGGAATGTAGTTACCGGCGGCCACGATGAGAGGGTTCTCGTGTCGTGCCTCTTTATCGAAGTGGCGCATAGACGCCGACTGCAGATACTTACTGATGGACTCTAAGTCCAGGTCGTCATGGAAGTCGACGTTCCTGACGAACCACGGAGCTCCGACGGCTATCCTGCAAAAACGAAATTGAATGACTTGGAAGGATTTGTAATTAGTGCGGGCCGCGTGAGCGAACACTACACGTGCATAGGTCATGACGGGGCGTATGCAAGTTTTGTAGAGTGTCATCTTATTTCTAAGGGACATTTTACTTCGGCTGCATATCATCGGGCAGAGGCGTCCTAGTATGAAGGTGGCATGGTCGCGTACCGTCTTTATGTGAGGGCGGAATGTCATCCCTCTGTCGAGGGTGATGCCTACGTATTTGATCTTCGGGGCCCACGGTATGGGTTGGTCGTACATCATGATTGGGCGAATGGCGGAGGTGGAGGTGTTGACGCGCCTAGTCGGGAATGGGATGCTCAATGTGGTGTTTGGAGGGCGACCCCTTTTGAAGAGCACCGCTGTGTTTTCGTGGGGTTGATGTCGATGCGCCACTTCCGGAACCACTGTCCCATGGTGGTAGCATGACGGACTGGAGTCGCTGATGTAACAACGACTTCTTCCTATACGAGTAGTAGATAGCCGTGTCTTCGGCGAAGAGCGCCAGATGAGTCTCCGGAGACCGGGGTATATCGTTGATATACAAACTAAACGGTAACGGGGAGAGAGCGGAGCCTTGCGGGACTCCGGTTGTTATGTGACGGGGACGAGAGCGCGTTCCCTCGACTCGATATCGGAACGAACGGTTCGACAAGTAGTCTTATATGATGAGCACGAATCTGTCTGGCACTCCCATGTTATACAGTTTGTATATCAAACCGTTGTGCCAGACTTTGTCAAAAGCCTTCGCTATATCGAAGAAGGGGGGTCCTGTCGAGATGTGCTCCGTGAGGCGGTGCACTTGATGGATGCACGCGTGTTTGGCGCGGAACCCAAACTGCTCGTCGATCAATATTTTGTTGGACGCGACGAAGTCCCAGAGCCGTTTACGAAGGAGTCGTTCGTATAGTTTGCGGTAGCGCCGGGAGGAGACTGATGGGGCGGCAACTCGCGGTTTCGTTCTTCAGTTTGCCCGGCTTGTGTATAACGTCAGCTTCTTTCCACGCCACGGGAAAGATGCAGTTCGTCATAGCACCATTTCAGATGGTCATTGTTATTAGTGGGGCTGGTAACATTTTTAGCGCGCGATTGCGAATGCCGTCGGGGTCGGGAGCTTTCCGTGGTTGCAGGTTAGCGATCGCCTCCTTAACCTCGGAAGAGGTAATGGGGGTAACGTGTCCGAGGGCGGCAGGGAAGCTCTGCGCTCGACCTCCCTGTCGACTCCCGCATATTGAACGCGGACCACGAACACACTGAGTTAAGTTTTAATTTTTGAAATCATTTCCATTTCATTTTGTTACAACAGCCATGGCTGCGGCCTTTGTCTTAAACCATTTGCGTGCCTGGGTATAAACTCCTTTTCCATTGTAACAAATCAAGCAAAAAAGTATAGACATTTTGGCGGGAACGCGTGGAGTAAAGTTGTGTGATTTGTTTTATTTTGTCTATTTAGTGTTTCTTAAGGTTTAAATGTGTAATAACGGTGGTTTATTAAATGTTTAGTATCTGTCAAAGTGCACACATGTGGGAAAATGAAACAAATCCGCTGTACGTAACATCACGGGATCTCCAAAAAGTCCACTGAAAAAATCTCAGTAAATCATTTTACTACGATAATATTTCATCCTTTATCATCTCATCTCATTTCATTTAATTTCGTTCCAGTTGATTAATGTCTCAAATTATCATCTTCATTTCATTTCACTCTATATTATTATTTTTCATAAAATTAAGAATCTAAATTATGACATGACTTAAAAGTCTTAGTTACCAGGTCATAAAATCCTTTAAAAAAAATACACTCTTGACTTTTTGGCGGGAACGCGGGAACGCGAGGAGTGAAGCTGTGTGTTGTGTGATTTGTTATTTTATTTTTGTCTATTTAGTATTTAGTGTTTCTTCAGGTTTAAATGTGTAATGACGGTGGTTTATTAACTGTTTAGTATCTCTGAAAGTGCACAAATGTGGGAAAATGAAACAAAGCCGCTGGACGTAGCTTCTCGACATCCTCCAAAAAGTCCACTGAAAAAGGCTCAGTTAATAACCACCATTGTACTGAGATTATATTTCATATCATACCATCTTATCTCATTACATTTCGTGCCATTTTTCATATTAATCAACTTCTTTTCATTTTATAATACATATTATTATCATTTTTAATATAAAAAAAAGTTTCATTAAACTTAAAATAAGACTTGACCTAAAAGTCTTAGTTACCAGGTCATAAAATCCCTTTAAACTAAAATTATTACACTCTTCAGAGCATTTAAAAAAATGGTTTGAAATAACGAACAAGGACGCAATACATAGGCAGCACATTCTAAATTATAAAACCACTATCATACGCATACATACATACTCATTAGAACAAAACATAAAACTGTTCCATGTGTTTGATAGTTTAATAATGGATTTTTCTACAATTAGCAATAAGACGAACTGCACCGAAGTGGAAGATGTTACTAATGGTGAATTGACTGAACGTTATTATTTACTCAAAAAACAATACGAAGGTCTTTCCACCAATTATGAATCTACAAAACAAGAATTATACGATACCAGACGTAGCTATCAGACCGCTTTGGATATACAGAGTCACTTGAATGCCGAATTAGAAGGTTTGCAGGCTGATGAAGCAAAACGAAGAACCGAGTTGAATTTACGAATAAGTAGCCTTCAAGAAGAAATATGTTCTTTAAGAACGGAACGTTCAGAACATCAAGAGCGACACGCTCTCGAAGTCAAAGTATTAGAAAAAGAAATTCGAGATTTGAGGGATCAACAAAAATTGAAAATGCGTGAGAGTCCTGAGCGCGATAACAGTGAATTGGATGAAGCGAGAACGGCACTGACTTCGGCTTTAAATGATGCTGCCGAAGTGAAAACAGCGCTGGAAGAAGCTCGCCAGGAAGTCGTCTCGTGGAAGATGAAAGTAGAAGAATTAGTGTCTGAGTTATCGGAAATGCGCGCTGCAGCGGAAATCCGGAGAGAAGAAATGAAAGCAGCCAATGAACGTGAAGCTGTGGTTCTAGCCGATCTGGCAGAGGCGAGGGCTATGCTTCATCAGTGTACAGATTCGCAGGACCTACAGCCCCATGGTATGTGTACTTAAAATGTAACAATAAATATCTTTATTTATGTAATAATCTTAATTTTCTTTTTAGTATGACGCAGTTAACTTAAANCATCAGTGTACAGATTCGCAGGACCTACAGCCCCATGGTATGTGTACTTAAAATGTAACAATAAATATCTTTATTTATGTAATAATCTTAATTTTCTTTTTAGTATGACGCAGTTAACTTAAACATGTTATTATTAAGTTAAAACTTTTAATTTTATAGCTGCAAAAGGAAATTCAATATTTGCTGAAGTAGAAGATAAGAGACAAGAGATGGCAAAAAACCTCATACAGATGAAGCATACAAATACAAGGGTAAGTCATATTTAATTATGCAAATGATTACAATACAAAGTAAATTGAAAGTGTCAATGTTTTTATTGCTTAACATGTTGAATGCCACATGAAAAATTGAGTGTTTTTATCCAAACTACGGTGCTTACCAGTGAGCCTTATTGTACTGGACCGTTCAGGCCTAAGGGTCACCCGTGAGCCACATGAGGGTTCCAACGTAAAAGCTTCCTACAAGTCACATATTGCCGCTATCAAACATAACTCAAATGGAAGTGAGCTATGTGGCCCTTTAGCTGAACTGAATGCTGAAAGTTTTAGTTTTCATCAAAATTACCCTTTCAAAATTTATTAAAAACTAGATAGTAAAAGTTGCAAATTTTTGTCTTCTGTGCGAATGATCACATTTTATAAATTTTAGAATGAAAATTTCAAGTTGATAAAAATTAGTGATTCCCTTATTTTGGCTTGGCCCCAATGTTATAGTATGCTAGGCCCACCGGTGGGCCATATGGCTTGATGTGTTAACTTGAAATAGTGTGCAAGCAACAGTATTAATTAATCGAAATTTATACATAACTGGAAATGAATGTCTTGATCAAAATCAAGGTAAATCAAGGCAATCTGTACATGTAGTATGCATGGGTTCCCAGAATTTAAAGGACAATTATAGAATTTGTTACAGTTGTAATTCAAGATTCTAAGAAAAGTTATTCAAGTGTTCAATTTTCAGCTACGTAGAGAGCTCGCCAACAAGCAAGCTGAAGTGGATGCATTACTGCATGAGAAGCAAAATATATGGGAGCAACAGGTCGGTGCTGCTGCCCATTTTGATAGAGAACTAATTGGTGAGAAAAAATTACATTTCTTACTTAAACAGGATACTTAGCAAAATATTGAAAGTATTGAAAAATATATTTTGTATAACACAATATATACTTGTGAAATACATACTTAAATATGTTCTGAATGACTTCCTTACTGAAGTAATATCATTGTGTAATAAAAATTAAACTAAGTAACAATTATTTTTTTCACAATCACTGGTAGAATACATTGTGGGGCTGCATGGCGTATATCTATTGCGGCCATGAGATATTAATGTGTTCTAGTTCAAAGTGTGGGCCAACCATTTAACTAATATACTATGAAGAAGTTGCTTTCAGGAATTTTTTGAGATGATCCTATCATCATGTTTTTACCATCGCACCGCCCGCCACCTGAGTAGAGTTTACAGAGTTCACAGAGTTGAGTAGAGTAATCACTCATCATCAGGTGGGCCGTACGCTCGTTTGCCTACTAGGGAAATAAAAAAAAAGTGGTAATCATATATACATCATGCAGTGGTTTTCAGTTTTTGCATTAGAAACACAAATATATTTTATCTGTCTAGTCCTTATTACAGGATGAAAAACTATTTCGTCAGGACATTTAGCAAAAATTTTGAACCAAGCAGGGCTGTCATGTTCATTTTTTCACTGCTACAATTCATCTATCATAATAGTCATAAATATCACTATCTGGAAGTTGTTTAACGGTAACGCTTTGTAAGCAGGCTCTTTTAAACCATGTCCAATATTTGTGATTTTGTGAATATTTGCGATTCCAATATTTGATTTTATAAATGTTAGCTTAAAAACGAATCGTCTTTATCACAGATTGCATCTACAACCATAAATAATTAAAAATGTTTAAAATTTTTTTTAGAAAGCTATGAAGAGAGAATTACCCAGCTGGAAGCGCTGTGCGAGCGTCAGAGGCGTGAACTTGCCCGTTGGTTTAGCAAGTTATCTGAACCAACTTCTCAAAGTTGGCTTCCTGGTGTCATGGACCATTTGAAGTAAGTATCTATTCACACGGATTTAATACTACTCATAATAAATAATAAACACTTACTGGTACCTATTTCTAACATACCAGGTAGATAGTAGTATACAACAAATATATAATAATTGTAGATTAATTGGTCAGAAAAAGTCATGAAGTCAAATGTGCAAAAGCAATAACATGATACATTCATGTTCAATGCAAAAGCTCAAAATGGTTCAATCGACACGTTATGGTAAATTTAGTGTAAAAAAAAATGATCACAAATGAATGCTTTTTCTTTCTGGTCGTTCCCTCAATGCTGAGGATCGTGACTGTATGTCAATCTTCTCCACTCGGTCCGGTTCTGCGCCATATGTACCGCTCCCCATATCTGGCCTCCAGTCACCTCCTTGAGTTGGTCAACCCATCTAGCTGGCGCTCTTCCTCTAGCTTATTGAATGCTTAGTGACATCATTATAAATACTAATAGTTATGTTTTAGTGGATTCGTTAACAACGGCTATTGTTAAAAATAATTTTTAATATAAATATACCAATCTTTATCCTGCCCTTCTTCCAGTCACCTGGGGTCGGCGTAACATGTTTTCTCCTTCCATACTCTTCTATCATATACCATTTCTTCGCTCACTCCCCTCTTACCCATATCGTCTTTCATGCAAATCAATCCATTTCTTCTTAGGTCTACCTCTTCCTCCATATCATTCCACATTCATAGTTAACATTGTCTTACCAACCTCATTTTCATTTCGTCTCATCACATATCCATACCATCCCAAACGCGCACTTCTCAGCTTCTCAGTCAGAAGTGCCACTTTCAGGCTTCTTCTAACATATTCATTCCGTATTCTATCTGTTCTCGTTACTCCACACATCCATTGCAACAGTCGCATCTCTGCTGCATGCATTCGCATTTTTTTTATGGCTTAGATGGATGGGATAGATGAGCTCACAGCCCACTTGTTGTTAAGTGGTTTCTGGCGCCCATAGACATCTACAATATAAATGCGCCACTCACCTTGAGATATAAGTTCTAAGGTCTCAGTATAGTTACAACGGCTGCCCCGCCCTTCAAACCGAAACGCATTACTGCTTCACGGTAGAAATAGGCAGGGTAGTGGTACCTACGGCGGACTCACAAGAGGACCTACCACCAGTATAATTTGATAAGAGGATAACGTTTTCTTATTGTTTATATATTTTCAGATCTGAATGTGAGCGTTTGCGAGCCGAAGTACTATCTCGAGGCGCTGCTCAGCTGGCGAGTGCTGCTCAAGTCAGAGAACTGCGCAGGAAAATAGCTCATCTATCGGCTAATCCAAACAAAAGTATCACTTCACCTAAACTCGATTATAGACCTAACGAAAAAGAAAATAAAGACGTTCTCGGCTCAGCGAAAAACAATGTACAAGTCAAAAGCAAAATCAATCCAGACGATGTTAAGAAGAAAGTTTCTTTTAATTAGTGTAATATCAAAATTTTATTTGGTAAATGCGAAATAAATTATGTACTATATTAATGCGTAGCAGGCGGCTTTATCGCAAACAGAAGAAGTTTCCAGAATTTCAGGTGGACAAAAGTTTGCAAATAAAAAAAAAACGTTTTGTTTCATTTAATATATTTTATTCATGTTATAATATTTTCAGACTTTCGTACGATAATATAATATGAATTAATTTGTTATCAAAGTATTTTCGTTGAACAACAAAGCAATCTAAACAGTTACAACAGATCTAAATCTAAAATTATTAAAAGTACCAATAAAAATATCAATGATCAACGTAAATATTCACATTAAATATGTAGATGTACCACTGTAGAAGTATTTGTATATGTAGAAGTATAAAAACTGAATGATTTTTCATGTCAAACTAAACAGCATTCACACATTAACAGCGCACGACGGGGACGAGACTCCCTTAATTAGGGCTTTAATGACGTCACATTTATTAAAAGCTGTCTTGAGTAAAGATGAGCAACAAGCATTTCTGAAATTGAATTTATTTTATCGACTTTCTCCCATCAATTCATTTTTCTGTTCTTTTCTTGTTTGTTTTTATCTTGTATTAAAATTTGTATATGACATCTTTACCTTTTTATTTTTTTATTCTAATATTAATAAAAATAAAGTATCGCGCGAAAAAAATTAAATTGAAAATTGGCCCATTGATTAAAAGGGTTGCTCACCCCTGGTCTCCAGTATATTGCAGGGCAATTTCGAAGGATGATGATAGTTGGTTTATCGATTCCCTAGAGGGCTACTTTGTCAAATTTGGGTGCGTTTCTAGATCTTTCAAAGCGTGCTCTCTGGCGTGGGCCATATGTCGAGATTTCCGAGCTGATTCTTTTTCATCCTTCTGCCTTCGATTGCGTAGCTTGATTGCTGTTGCTTCATGAACGCACTTCGCGAAGTCTCCTGAACCGATAAATTATCACATGAACTTTGGTTAATTTCATTATTATTCTAGCAACCCTGGTCGAGGTTCAAATACCGAAGGAATTATTACCAAATTTTTTTTGTAAAGAAATCCTTACCTACCTAACACGCCCTCTAGAACGACTGCTAAGGTGAAGGAATAACATCGTGTACAAACTACGGGCAATATTGTTTTTCCTACATAAAGTGGTTAGTCTAACGGGCTATTTTAACTACACGCGTTTGGTGAGCTCACGGAGCTCAATCTGGGATGACTTGCTAAGGCTAACCCTAGCAAAGGCAGTGCTTCGTTACCACCGGATCCGAATCGCTGGCTTCGGTAACGACTTGACATTATTTAGGAGTTCTTTCATTCAAGTAACAAACACATTAGAAAAATTGTAGAATTTTTGGTCTTTTTAAATTAAACTTACCGACGGCATCCCAGCACTTAATTGTGTCTGTATTACCGCTGTTATAGCATTGCAAAAGCTTAGCTTTACAATCTACACATATGGGTTCGGAGTCCACAATATTCGCTGTAAGGCGCTCTATGCGATTGACTAATGCGTTGAGATCTTCCACCGTTAACCTAGAAAGATATAAATTCCTATTTACTTAAGTGTGTAATAAGGGTCCTTTATTGAGTGTTTAGTATCTGTGAAAGTGCACAAATGTGGGAAAATGAAAAAAAAGCCGTTGGACGTAACTTCTCGGGATCCTCCAAAAAGTCCACTGAAAAAGTAAATGACCACCATTTTACTGAGATTATATTTCATACCATATCACCTCATCTCATTTCATTTCACCCCATGTTATCATTTTTCATAAAAATAAGAATATAAATTTAAAATAAGACATGACCTTAGTTAATGGTCTTAGTTACTGGGTCATAAAATACCTTAAAAATATTTACTTATGTACAGAAATTAAAAAATAATAATAAAAAAGAAAGCCGACTTTAACGTAATAATGGAGAATATCATCAATGTAGTCTAAGTTGGCTAAATATCCATTATTAAAGGTAACTCGAAAACATGTCCATTCTTGATAAAATGTTAATGGGACCACATGACAAAGACCGACTTCCAATTACAAAAAAATAACAAATTCAGTTCATCTAGAAAAAAGTTCTGAGGTCACATATATAAAATACAGTTGAATTGATAATGTCTTCGATAAAGATAAAGCAAACAACATTGTCTAACCGAAACTCCATTACTGAAACATCACTTACTGGCGGCACGGCTGCGATATGTCCGTGAGCCGGCATCATAACGAGAAGGCGCACAGCCCTAGAGGCGTGATGACGGCAACGTCTCCACGCGCCCTTAGGGTAAAATAAATATTACCCACCCACATCTTTCGGAATGACTGTCATCCATACACCTTAGTTTTTCCATGTACATCTTTTCTTTGTAGTCTGCTTTTGAAGATCCTGTATTTATTGCTGCTGTACTTGCCAACGTTGCGTCTTCTACCAAACGTTCAACCTAAGAATTTTATATAAGTATTTGGCATCAACAGATTCGAAAGAATAACTTGATTGTCCTCTAAGTGATTCTTCTTGATAACTAAACTAGATTCATTGTAAATACTAAGAGTATATTGGGGACTATTATTTAAAAAAATACCAATGAGGGCTATTAAGTTTTCATTGCCGTTGTGTTATTATTCAATACACGGAATAGATAAACGTGATTCAATACAATATGGGATTCGGAAAATGAAATTTAAAGATAATGGAAAATAAAGCATAATTAAATACTTAAAAAAACATATGCAAAACTGATTGAACTGAATGTTACTGGCTTGTCCCGTTAAATACAAGCAAAAAGCTAAAAATGCCGAAGTCCGCACGAGACATGAATAATTATCAGCTAGATCCGTTTTAGAGTGATTCATTCCAATACTTTATATTAAGACTTCTCATCTAATGTACCCACACTGACGGTGTGGCATAATAATTTTCGGTCAGAACTCAAAAAAGCTTTATTAAGTGTATCTAATACAAAGTACTTTTTTTATTAGAAAAAAATATTACTATTCCGCATCCCTTTTCATAAAGGAACTAGCGGTTTAAAAAAGGGGCCATTTTTATGATTGAGGGCTTACTGGTGGCCCGGAGACTTTTCCAGTTTCACAAGGACATGTGGGCGAGCAAGGGCTTAGCCAGAAGGGGCGGGGTTTGCTAACATATACCCGAGCGCCTCCAAGGGAAACCTAACAACTCAAGAGTAGCTGCTTCGCGAATGAATCTACTACCGGATCGGAATCGCGATCCGCTGAGAAGGTCCGGCAAGAAACTCAAGGGGTTGATGTTTAGGTTATGTTGCACGTCGAACTCCTTGCCGAGTTCGACGAATACGGTTACCAGGGTCCCTGCTCCTAGTGTTAGAGCGAAAGGCGTTTAATGCTGTCTAATGGGTTATTGGATCTGATGGCTCCGTAAGGACGTGTCTAGGGCGTCGACGGTGACTGGCTCCTGCGTGATCAGGATTCGGGAAGTAGTCAGCGGTGGCAACGATAAGGTGATTATCATGACGAAAAAGGGGCCCTAACCATGTATGTATACAGTATAGAAAAAAATCTGTAAATGTAATTGTATATTAAATTGTAAATTAAATTCTAGGAAAAGCGTAGTGGTTTATCAGACAGTCTGTGTTCGTGTACTTTAACTAAAGGTGCTAACTTGTGCCATTGATCATTGAATTCCGTTTTGTTATTACGTCAATGCTTGACAAACAGTATGGGTTCAGTCAATGGGAAGTCATAAGTAGGTTACGACTTTTCACTTTTCAATCTAACAAACGAATAGCACTTGTGAACAACGCTGGGTTTGTTTACAGGCTGGTCTATGGCCGGCTGATCTCTACGAGACAACAGCTGTGTGTTTGGTATTTGTTGAACGTACTTCGGAATCCTAAAATGTGACGACGTTATTACCGCTACTCACCTCGAAATAGACGTGGAAGTTTCAATTATAGTAAATACCTATATACGTTACATAATGTCCCATCCTTCAAACCGGAATCGATGACTGTTGCGTGGCATAAATACACAGAATATTGATATTTATTCAATACTTTTCAAGACGTACTTTATTTTTTACTATTTGTAAACCTTTTTAATATCTATCACAACACTATTGCTGTAAGAAAATTATTTAACAGCAAAATCGATTGGATTGTCCTCATTGTGCTCACTTACCATTTTGTTAGATATACTTATGTGATGATCGTCGGGCAACTCATCCAGCATCGGGTCAGTAGCAGTCTTTTCGGGTCGTTGAAAATGCGTGGCGCGTACTGATTGCTGGCCACCCATATTATATATTCTGAAAAGATACCAGTGATCCATTGGAAAAAGCTTGTAGCTTTTAAATGCAAAATAAAAGATTTTACATTTAAAAACGATTTTAATCGTAATAATAATAATACGTCGAAAGATCAAGGGATAATACTTAACAAGTTATACAAATTTTCAGGGAAAAAAATGAGTATAGGTACATCCCACAGACACAGCCCACTGAGTTTCTCGCCGAATATTCTCAGTGAGTCGCATTTCCGATCCGGTGGTAGAAGATTCTGCGAAGCACTGCTCTTGCTAGAGTCAGTGTTAGCAACACTCCGGTTTGAGCCCCGTGAGCTCACCTACTAGTTAAGGTTACGCTGATATAGCCTCTCAAGGCTATCAGTTTAGGTAGAAAAAAAAATAGGTATATTTTCCAATTCTAGAAAACACAATACGTGGATTTTAAAATGTCAAACGACTACAAGGAAACAAAATACATATAGGTATTTGAAATTGTATATAAGAATTCCCAAATAAAATTTCCTACCAATAAAAACCTGAAACGCACAATGTTGGTTAAACCATTTATTGATAGCTTGATTAATCTGTAAGATAGTTCTCTTTGTCTAGATGATTAATACGGAACTTAGTAGCAGCTTTTGCATGTTTGTGACAAATACATCTTTATATGTACTTGTAAGAAAAGAAAAAATCTTGACAAAAGTGGCATAAAGTGCATAAGACGAAAAGTGGCATAAGGTCGAATATGCATGATTTTCTAGAACTTTGATGTTTTCAAATCGAACATTTCAAATTGTCACTGGTTCTAATCTAATACGAGTATAGATATTCAGACCATTTTGAGAGTTTCTAGAATTCAAGATAAATACCAACAAAAAGTCTGTGCGCGGATTTTTGCTAAACATATTTCAGGTAAAATTATTCATTAATAATAAAATCAAAAATTTTAAAGCACGCCACTGTGTTTCCTTGTACTCATGCTGTACCATTATCATACCACAGATTGATGCAATAATGTACTCGGATCTAGTCACTTTAATAAAATTGCCTCAGGGTAACTTTCAAGGGATGTGAAAGGTAAAATTACACTGTCAAAATCGATTTAGTTGATCGATCGTTTGAACATAACACTGTCCAACGCATTGGTGATTATGAAGGCTCACCTTCGAAACAACAACACTATTAAGTGATGACTTTTATAAATAAATTATTACTAGAAGTTATTACCTAACACGAAAATCTATTTGGTAAGCATAGGGTATGCGTTTTATATTCAGTTTTCATCCACAAAGTGGTTGCCAATCTAGCTTCTCCAAACACGCGCTCAAGTGAAACTCCGAAAAGAATACACGATCGCTGTCATTTTGTAGATTCTTCATATCGTGCTAAATACCGTCGTAAGATTTAAAGTCATTTCACAAATAGAGTGGAAATGGCACTTAACTGTTAATTTATATTGATTTTTATATTTTATGGAGGAAGAAATATTTAGGACTAGTATCAGCATTAGCAATTCCAATGTCCACATGTACACACATTTAAAGGTATATTAATTAATAATAATAATACACAATCGTGAATTACCGTGAACTACCTGTAAAGCGTTAACTGGTTTAATATACAACATATTTGCGTTTACACCTACATTTAGCTATAAGTCGCTGTTGCGTAGACAAGAGAAACAAAATATTGTTGTAACATTAATAGGCGGGATGGTTGGCCCAACGAGTGAGATTTGACAATCTACATTACCAGCAAAAGTTCAATTTGAGAAGTTTCTTGAAGGCCGCGGTGTGGGGGCGGTTGGTGAAATATGCATTCGCGCGGATCGAGTCACCTTCCTACAACCTATCTTAGATGGCGGGTTGTTGAGCAGCAGGGGCTTTTAGTCGGTTCAACTCCGATATACTCCCAACCTATAGTCACAATACCCGCATTAATCCTATTCCAAAAAACCTTTATGTCCCTTATGTTTTCCGCAAGTGGTTATGAATGATATTATTATATAAAAAAGGTCACATTTATTTGTTGTCTGATCTCATATTACGCACCTTGTGATACCTTTCCGAGAAATACAAAAACGCTCATGCACCGGTTTATTTAACGTATTAGACGAGATATCCGCGAATTCAGGAACTTAATATAATATAATAGTTTGCGTTAGTCATTTTACTTAGTAATTGCGTCGTAGATGACACAGAAGCAGATGTTATTTTCGCGTCGTTCCGTCCTTGATTGTTCTACTCAGGAGATGCAGACAGACGAATTCACTGATTCAGTGCGTAAGTATCAAAATATATTTACAATTAGAAAGCTTGTTTAAGCGATTCGGAATACAGTTTTGGCACAGAAGTTTTGGCACGAAGTTCTTATATCTATATATTAATACGTGAAGCAAAAACTTTGTATCCCTTTTTACGAAAATTGCGCGGACGGAGGAGTATGAAATTTTCCACACTTATAGAGACTATAGAAAAGAAATGCACAATGATAATATTTTTTTAAAATAATGCATAAAAGATATATTAAATCAATAAATCAATAAAGAAAACATTACACACACTACATACCATGTATTTGACGCACACACGCATGCATACTATTTAATGTCAAACTTTTGTTCTTGACGTCTGTGGTCAAATTGAGATTAGATTAAATATTGTTTGTCTTTATTAATATTTTTCTATAGTGTAGTCTTGGCTAAATTTGTGATTATAGAAGTATAAGTATTTCAAAATATAATCATAATAGTGTACAAACTTATAATTTTAATTAATTAGTCGAATTTTGACTACTGCGGGATCACTAGTGATTATAAATTTGCAGCGTTTGCCATGACAGAACAGAAGAACGGTAACTTCACTATAGTATAATTAGTTTCAACCAGCAACCTTCAAACTGTCCGTCCAAGAGCTGCCCTTTATCATTTCCTATATTTATTTTAATGTTTACGATGGTAGACAAAGCCATAATGGCTATAATCAATCATCATCTTAAAACGAAGACTAAACTCACAACGCTCGTAACCTGCTTAACTAGTACTTCTGTATTTAAAAATCGCATACGCATTTTATTTATCTAAAACTGTTTCAAGCTATCTAATTACAAGCTCGTTTTCAATCTATGTGTCTGCGTTATCACTAGTCGCTCACAATAGGGTCTATTATGACGCGTATAATGATTTTTAAACATAATATTTTCATCTTTTCCTCTATGCTCCGAACAAGTTATATGGCCGTAGTCACGATTAAGTGCTTCATTAGATGCTATAAATTAAAATTACATCATCCTTAAATTATTCAGAAAACATCGTTTACTGGACGTCTACTCCCGAATTTAGGCTTTATCTTTTATCTCTGAATCCGTTTGCACAAGCTCTACAATTTAATTCAAAAAGGGAAGTGTAAAATTTAAAGAAAGTTATTGACATTTTGTTTTTCCAGGGAATATAAGTACGACTCATCGAAACATTGTAAACTAATCGAAAAATTATGCAACATTAAATCAAAATTTCGTTCCGAGTCTAGAAAAGCAAGGGAAGGAAAAAAAATTATAATGAGCATTATTCAAAATGTCTTTCACGAGTTATCCTTGAACTTTGATGATGAGATGAACCAGTATTGGCCTGCGATCGTCAAAGCGTCGTCTCTAGTGCCGGCGAATCGCAATTTAAAGAGCAGTTCATATTATAAACCTTTCGAACACAAGTACGGGTATTTTTTATTTTCCTCGAAAATGATATACCGGGAATGATACTTTTATGTTGTGGTAAAATAACGTTTTTATTAGCTCTGATGACTGATAAGACCCTCAGGCACCGTAATGGAAGTTGGTTGTACTTGTTGATGGACAATGTCAATGTGAGTCATTCACTGGTTTTAAGCAACGCGACCATAACGATTTTGTCTTATCCGTTGCAGCAAACAAATTTCTCAAGTCTTATGCACGCGTTAAACAAAACGATCCTGACTAAACCTGACCAGTGACTCCTTGCAATGGAGTCGAAATATCGAGAACACAACAATACCAAAAATCTTCGTAAAAGAATGCGTTAAATAATTATATTCTAAATGTATGTAGTCGCGAATGCTCAAAGCAATTCATATGTACATATGTGATAGAAATAACTCCCTATGGTTGCCGTTCTATAGATATTGGCCAAGACAATTTGAGAATTCAACGTTTATACAAGTTACAATCGACGCCTTCAGCTCTAACACTAGGAGCAGGCTTAGGGACCCCGGTAACCCGGTAACGGTAGGTTGCACGTTGAACTCGACAAAGAGTTCGACGTGCAACCTAACCCATGCATCAGCTCGCCGAGTTTCTCGCCGAATCTTCTCAGTGGTCGCGATTCCGATCCGGTAGTAGATTCATTTGCGAAGCAGCTGCTCTTGAGTTGTTAGGTTTGCTTCGGAGGCGCTCGGGCAGCTGTTAGCAAATCCCATTCTTCCTGGTTGAGCCTTTGCTCGCGCACCTGCCCTGGTGACACTGGAAAGGCCTCCGGGCCACCAGTAATCCTTCAATCATAAAAAAAACAAGTTACAACGTGAATATTGCTGACTGTGGCGCCGAGGGTCGCGAGTTCAATTCCCACCTCGGGCAAACATTCGTGTGATGAACAGGTCTGCTTGCTCTTGGTTTGGATGATTATTATTTATACGTATATTTATATATTTAAACATACATAAGTATTTTTCTGAGTCTCTAGTACCCATAACACAGGGAATCCTAAATTGGGGTCCGATGACCGTGCGTAAGTTGTTCCCACTTATTATTTTTAATAATATACTAAATTATCTATATATCTCTATATATAAAATTAATTGCTGTTCGTTAGTCTCGCTAAAACTCGAGAACGGCTCTACCGATTTGGTTAATTTTGGTCTTGAATTATTTGTGGAAGTCCAGAGAAGGTTTTAAAGGTAGATAAATGAATGAAAATGTTCGGAATTAAATAAAAATAACAATTTTGTTTCTCATTAATGTATCCCCCAAAAGTTTAGGTCTTTTATTTATCGA